GCGTTGTTACTTCAGTGTTTTCCTTTTGATTTGAATTATTAGGTTTGGTTTTAATAGGACCACTATGTGCAATGACAGGCTTAAAAAAATGGGTGTGTTTGGTTCAGAGCAAGGATTTTTTAAATACTAAACATTTAGCAGGGTGAACTGTCACAGAGGGAGAGCCAGGATTGTGTGAGCACCAAGAACATTGTGCCGAGCTCTACACAGCCTCCCTGTCACAACAAGCTGCCCTCAGGCTTTACATTTTCTGCTGTCATCAATTGTGCCATAATTCACTGAGTTAATGCAGGCAGAAAGACAGCAAAGCTCTCCTGGAATCATCTGCCTCTTCATATTGCGCTGGTGTGACAATCAGTTGAAATGAGGGCACAATTCGACCTGAAATCTGCTGCAATGGGCTTCAAATGGGCAATTCTGACTTTTCAGGGACCTGAACAACTCTCTGAGTCTGAACTATGACTGTTTGATGTTTTTTTAATGACTGAAGCCAGCTGTTACCATCTCACCTGCAGTAAAGGCAGTTATGTAAGCCTGCCATTTCCCAGGAGGGGCTCACTAGGTCAGTGTCTCATCAAATGCAAGCTGACCTGTGGGCTAATTTACACAATTCCGCTGGATTGGCGCATGAAAAAAGTTAGAGGAAGCATGCAGTAGCATATCATGCCTGGTTAAGTGATGTGGAGGAATTGTGGGAGAAATAACTCGCCACGAAACAATGAAAACGCACCGACCACAGCACCACGTCCGCTCAAACACGGTTTATTTTACATTACAAATCCCAAGTAATGTTAATTGTTAATTATCGCCCAAATCCAGGGCTTCCTGTCCGCACGAGGGGCCTTTCTGGGCTCCTCGCGCTGAGCTGAACCAGGATAACTTAACCTACCTGGATTCACACACGAGTCAAACATACAACTGTAAAGAGTTTCTTGGAAAAACCCTCCCTTAGGTTGAATACACAGCTATCGCCCGCATTGTGTGTCTGCGCAAACAATACACACTCAGGCGCTGGTTAAATGTTGCGTTCACGGCAAAGCGAACTTACCTAAATCATCCATGTTGGCCGGAAATCGTTCCAATGCTGGGAACCGGACCGGGTCCTCCTGTCGATCACAGCCGGACTGAAAGCACCAGATTTCAGCTCCCAAAACGCAGAGTGTTCCGCTCGCTGAACGGCGCAGTGAAGTTTTCAAGTTCCCCTGCTGCTCGACGAGCCTCAAACACACACATATCCTACTGCCCCCCTGGAGTCTCCAACAGCCCACATCCAGCCCCCTGCCTGCCCCCCCCCCCCCCCCCCCCCCCGGCGCCACACAGGGTCCAGCGACATCTAGCGACAGAGAGGGACTGCAGACTCAACATGCAGTACTTCATTTAATTGTGTTAAAATAATATAAGATGGAACTTTATTTATCCCCTTGGAGAAATTCAGGCGATTATAGCAGCAACAGGGTATGATTGAAAAACATGAGTCACCCAAGGTAAACATAAAGATAAAATAGAATAAAAATAAAAATAATAATATATATTTATTTATTTTAAATAAAGAGATAAAGTGATAAAGTAACTGTTGAAAGAGATATCACGGTAAAACATTGGCCATTTGAATGGACATATATATTTTTTGTTTGTTAAATATATTTACATAAGTGCACAGGTTAAAGTCTTGTAAAAACAGTGCAGGTTTTATGTACGTAGCCTTTTAAAGAATAAAAGCCAACACCAATTGCTTTGTCTCTTTCCTAATATCTTATTTTAGCTTTATTCATTGTATTATAACTTTACAATACAAGTACAACGTTAACTGAAAAGTCCAGTAGTGCAATTCCAGAGTCGCACTACTGGACTTTCGGCACATTTGTATTTGAACATTACGAGCATTATTTGATACCCCTGGATATTGTGAATCCTTCTGCCATGCCAACAAATTCCTTATCCAGAACAACTAGGGTCTTCGCATAAAAATGGCCTCATGTTCGGAGACATAGAGGCCATTCAGAAATAAATGAACGACCTGATCAACCAGAAGACACAGGTCACCAGCAGTGTCTCTGAAATATCAATGGCCACAGAGTTTGTTGCAACATAATATCCCTAAAAGGGTGAAGGAGGAAACAGTTCATAGTTTCAACGAGCTGCAAAACTTTCATATCTTGTCTGAAAGGTTAATGGTGGGGCTGAAGGGCCAGGAGGACTAGATCTGAAGAGGAGCTGGGCTGTGGGAGTGAACCTGACAGGCTTTGCTTTTGTATAAGGTTTGGCAAACTCTTTTTCCCAGAATTGAGGAGTCAGGGTGACAGTGGAGTATGTGGAGTTTGGGGAGCATGCCACAAACGACCCCAGAGGAGACCGATGTTTTGGAAGTGGTTTTGTCTCTGAATGGTAGATTTAGAAGGAAGACGTAAAGATTTGGGTGGTTGGGTTGGTTTTGGTTGTGCAGACTAGTCCTACAAGAATGATGAATGATTGTTAACAGCTGAGGTCTATGTCCTGAGAGTCCTGCAGACACCAGACACCATCCAGCCCAGGAAGGACACTCCACTCTTGTCCTCTTCCCAAATCTCCTGTAAAGAGAGTATGGGAATTTTGAAAAGGAATAAATCAAGCAAAGTAAATGTAATGTGTGAGCATTTGTTATTCATCATCAGTCATCAATAGCCTTTGCTAAAAAAGATTACCCTGTTTCTCTATGTAGTTTTACCCCCGGAAAGAGATTACATTTGACACATACGTTGCATTGACGGACTGCGATCAACACATGACCCAGATGTTAAACAACATTCACTCATTACAAGCATTCATTTAAAAAAGAATACTGTATATCACAGTTGGTCTTTCATTAGTTTCAGGGAAATTCCCTAAATCCTGTCTTGTCTTTTTTTTAGGCCTGTAAACAAATGTTATGTACATTTAAATGTATTATGTCGCTTGAGTGCCACCTGCAGGTGAAAGACCATTGTAATTTTGCAGGACTTCTAAATGTATTTGTAAATGCTCACTCAAGTGGATATCAGAGTGCTAATTGGCCTGAAAAGAAAGAAATTCAAATATAAACGGACTGAGCATAGACAACATAACTGAAAATAATAGTCCACAGATATGTTATCAATGGAGAGAACTAATATCTAGCCTCAAATCCACAAATCATCCCTCTCTGGATGCCGACTCAGCATAAATTCATCCATTATTTCTCAATGGTGTAGAGTGGACCTAATGACACCTAAGAGCTGTATTGAATCTCAATATAAGTCTGCAATAGAGCACTTATTGCAACATCAGCACCCTTTAAAATGCTTCCCCTGATCAATAATTGGTGTAATATTACTATAATATTCTACAGGGATTTACAGCAGTTAGATGATAGTAACCATATTGTGACTTTACATGTCATGTCATCATGTTTTCTGTGGAACATATCACTTTGACAGTCCTGCATGATAATTTATAGTTTTTCTTACCAGGAATTCATTATTAAAATTATTATTACAGACATGTTCTGGACATTTTGATCACTGTAGCCCTTGTTTAACATTGTAGATGTCCATTTATACTGTATTTAATCATGTATATTCCTCAATGGCCTCTAGGGGGCGTTCAGGTACTAAATTATACAGATGGAGGCCCCGCTCACACGGGACCGTTTGCGTTTATGCACAGTATGCTATTCAAAAAAGTCTTCCGTTCACATGCATTTGTTTCATTTAACGTGTCTGTTCAAACGAGGCCGCTGGAAACGCTGTAGTACATATGCTGGGACTGTAAGTGGCGCTGTAACTTCCGCCAAAATACACCAAAAGCCGCGAAGAAGAGCAACCGAGCAGCCCCGCTGCAATGTTGCCATGGCTACCCTTCTGTTTAAGCCCCGAAACTGAAACTGAAACTGAAAGAAACTGAAAGAAACCAATCTGTGGATATTGCATCCCGACCAAGAAACACGAAAGAAAACAACTCCGTGGAGAGGACGGCTCAGAAAGAGAGAGATATTCTCTACAAACACCGGGTGAGATCCTCCTTTGTCAATATAATGGATCAATGCATGAAATCTGACTCTGTTTATTTTGTTTAAGGAGTATATTGGGCGTTAACAATTCTGGTTTGCCTTTTATAATATTATTTCATTCAAGAACCCCTTGTGCGTTTAATTAACACAGCTATTTTTGATAGTTGATACAGCAGTGAGCAGGAGAGGTGGGGAGAGGCGGGGCTATCGTTATTTTTTCAGGAAATATTCGTATAGAGGTGATTACACGGACTCGGTTGACCCCCCAGAGCATTTCGTTTGCAAATCTATCCACCTTGGGACCCGTTATTGTTTGTGGGGTCAGTTTCTATCGGCCTCGTGTAAATAATAGGGCTATACGCACGCGAAACTATGCAGATACAAGCCGTTTGTCCACTAAAAATGCAGTTGTATCCGTTTCATTTCAGTGCCTTTTAATACTCTAATTAGTTCCATTAATTTTTATTATATCCCATATATGTGTACATAAACTTGGTCAATAAAGCTGGTTCTAATTATGATTAATTTGAAGGTATACAAGTATTATTTTGATGGCACTTTAACAGTAAACAAACCAGACTCTTTTAGAATGTTTATGTTTGAATCTGAGAAATGTTGTAGCCTTCAGTTAGTAGAAAGATTAAGATCAACATTTAAAAACATTTCTCCTATTAGTTACATTTCTTCTTAAATAGATTTATTTCAGATTTGACTCCACATCTGACAGGTAGGTCATTATCTTTGGAAATAGTAAAAACTTTACAACGGTATGTGCAATATTACTTATTTGTAGAGTTGAGAGAGGAAAATAACCAGCTAATCACTAACGTTACTTTGAAATGTTGTTAGGTCTTTAGATCAAGATGGCGACAGTCAGTTTAAAGGAGCAATACAAAAGCCTGCAGGAGGAAAATGACCAATATGAGAAGCTCATCAGCCTGCAGAAAGATCAATTGGTCTCTCTGGAAAGGGAGGTAAACTACAGATGGACATATACTGTACTGTGTTAGTGTGGGTTTCACCTTCACCCAATTGTCTGAACTCAGTTTATGTAGCACAACGTTTTTTTTATCTCTGTTTTTGTTTAGATATTATATGTTGTGCTTCATAAGTATTAGATGTCACAGTACTAATAATAGTAGTATGTGTAGTAGTAATACTAGCATTAGCAGACTAGTACAGAATATTGTGCTCTTACTATTTGTTCAGACAGAGTACGGTCAGATAGGTGCATCATTATTATTTTGTGTTATCATTAATTAAGTTGAGGGCACATTTGATTGGAAATGAAACAAAAGCAATGAGGGAGTTAACCTAAATGTTACTTTATTTACACATATTAAGGGAATAGTGGCTGAATTGTAGAGTAATTGCTCCATTTTAGTGTTATTCAAACTATGGCGATATTGACAGTCCTGTAGTTTCTCCACTGTTCAAGCAAACTTAAAGCTGAACGTTAACATGTGCATGTTTCATTTCAAATTCAATGTGCTACAACCAGCACCAAATACAAGCTGTGACTGTCTGTATAGTTACAAAGTGTGTTGTACAAAGTGTGTGTTCTTTCCTGTGTTGTTTCAGATAACTGTGTCAGAGAACAGTATCCAGGAAAAGCTAACAGTCCCAGGAGGTCTCTTCAAACTAAAAGGGAAGCAAAGCCGCCTCTGGAAACACATCCGCACCTTAGAAAACGATCTCAACCAGGTAGTCATGCTAAGAAAGACCAACTTTCTCTAAGTCCCATCCAGATAAATCAGTACCATACAGGAATATAGTAATTCATTTTAGGAAATACACATATTTGCTTTCATGCTGAGAGTAAGATAAGAAGACTTGCGCTTCTCATACTTCTATACTGAGTGTAGCCTAGTATAGAGACTGAAAGTATGGGGAGCCATGACTTTTTCCCGAAGTCACTGCATCCAGCCAATAAATAGTGTGGCAACAAAATGCAACACCACATCTAATGTGTTAACAATCTTTAGAGATGCTAGGAGGTGGATTTGATATCTTCAGAGGGAGCCAGACTATAGAATAGAATAGAATTGGGAGGGATGAAACCCTCTTTAATGGTCACACATGCAGAGCAAACAGCACACACAGTGAAATGTGTTCTCTGCTTTTAACCCATCCTAGTACCAGGAGTCTAGTACTAGGAGCAGTGGGCAGCTATTGTACAGCGCCCGGGGAGCAATGGGAGTGAGGGGGGAAGGGGGAGGTCCGGTGCCTTGCTCAAGGGCACCATGGCAGGGCAGGAGGTGAACTGGGACCTCTCCAAGTAGAAGTCCACACTCCATATTTAGGTCTGGTCGGGGACTTGAACAGACAAAGTTTTCAGTCTTTGTGCTAAGCTCAGCTAACATGCTACTTGCTGTATTCTTATACTCCCCCCCCAAAAGTTAAACTATTGCTTTGTTATAAACACACATTTTAAACTGACAACTCCTCATCACAGTGAGTCTAATGTTTCCTTTATCTTCTGTAGTACACTATAAGGTTTGACAGGTTGATGAGCAGAAACGTGGATCTTCGCAAAGACATAGCTCACCTACTACAACAGAAAGGCTTATGGTGCAATGTTGCAAAGAAATTCAACAAGCAGTTGGCTACACAGCTAAACCAAACAGAGAAAATGGAGGAGAGTTTCACTGTGGCTTTCCAACAGAGGTGATTCACATGTTTGAGTGTATGTAGAAAACATGGTGGTGGGGGGGGCAGATCATTGATGTGTGTTTGTGTTGTTTTGTTCTTCAGGTCAGAGGCAGAGGGCCGAATGCTGGAGGTGGGGGAGTGGATCGAGGTGGAGACTGCTCACTTTACCAAGAGAAGGATGAAGCTGAAGACAAACATCGACCATGACGCCAAACTGCAGACTTTCATGGAGACCAAGTTGCAGGAAGTTATTTGTTTCGAAGAAAATGAAGACTCCAAGAATAGAAGTATGATATTAGCATGCATGTACTTAGTCCCTGAGAGGCACGTAAGAAGAAAAAGTGTTAGTTTGTGGTCTGTTGTTTCTCTCCTTATATGACTTAAAGAGAGGGGAAATGTTTTACTAGTTGAATAATCTTTCTAAGTTCCATAATTGTTTTCATCTGTGAACCAGACGGGGGAAAAAAGCTGTACAGGGTTCTTGATGTATTTTCTAAGTAACATCATTTTTTTCAACTTTAAAAAGGTGAAAAAGATTATGGGGGGGATTTTGGCAGATTATTTGCAGCTGTTTGTTGTTGTAATACTGTTTTTGGCCACAAGAGGCTGAAGCGCTCCACTACCTCATGTTATAAATGAGCATTAATTCAAAACACAATGAATATTATGCTTATATGAATTTACACTTATCCTTTTTTTATCCTGCAAAACCTTGTTTCATCTGTACTTTAGTTACAACAACAGAAGAGTAAGTCATTTGGATTTGAAACTTTATCCAATAATTTGATATTCCTTACTTGCCTCTCAGGGCTTCCATAGCCTTGGTCCCCATGTTTGATTTAGATAAGATTTCATGTTTTTCAGCCTGTTTTTAGCCTGCATCCTTATTGTTACAGAGAAACAGCTACAGGATGAGTCTGGAGTTGAGAAGCTGGAAATGTACCGGCAGGGCCACAGCAGTTTAGTGGAGGTCACCCAAGAGAGCGACCTGCGAGAAATCGCCCACATGTTTGCTCAAAACGATCAGAAGAATTTTGCTCGTATCAGCTATATCAATCAGCTGCAGAACAAAAGGAACATGTTGAGGCACAGCACAGACAAGATGAAGGCATGTGCATATATCCTGTTTACAGACTCACACAGTTTAACCTATAGTGTACATTTTATTAATGCACACGTGTGTTTCTCCTTCAGAGTGACATCCTGTTCCTGGAGGAAGAGAACAAAGGACATGATGAGCATATTAACAGCACGCTTAAGGATCTAGAAGTGAGTCTTATCACATCATATAGTCCATCATTTCTATATTATTATTACTATAAGTAGGCCCTGGTTTGATGCTGTTGACGCTCATGTGTACGGCCTCTTAAGCTAGTTTAGTGACGCTGAACAGGATTTTAATAACATATCATTATTGTATGACGGTCGCTCACAAGAGGAACATTTGGCTCAAAGCTGTTTCCTAGCAACACCTCTTTCAGGTACAAACCTGGTATATCCACAATGTCAATGATTAAGGAACTAAAAAACAGCTTTGTTGTAATGATGCATCTTTTTGACATTAACCAGTCTACTTTAAAGGTTTTTATGAGTTATGGAATTATCTCTCTGTCTGCAAATGTGAGTCGCACATCCAAAAATATGATGTCTCCTTTCCTATAGCTTTCCAAGTTCATTTTAACATTTGAATTGACCAGTAGGCTACAGATCAAAGTGAGGTGTAGTCAGACACTACCTTTCTTAGATCATGCAACTACTGTATAAATGGTATATATTCTTCCACATAAGTATCTCAGTCCCCTCACTAAAATAAAATCTGAGCTAAAAGAAGACGCTCCGTTTTAGTTTAATACAAAGAGTTAAGCTCAAACAAACTATTTAATGAACATATAGGTTTACCTACTGAATTAAAAAAATAACAAATGAACCAAAGAAAGTGAAAACCTTAAAGAAAATTCCGGCAATATGTGTATTAGTATTAGCCTGCAGAACAGTACAGCTTACAAAGAAGAAATACACTCTGCTTCTTTAACAACAAACACTTTATGCTCTTTTTGAGTTTTTGAGTCACATTGTAATCCTGCTAGTAATCCCCAATTCATAGTAAACGTAACAGTGATCTGATTACGTCTTTTCTTAATGCAACTAGAACTTTGTATCCTGATTACGTTATCCCGTTACATGTAATCCATTACTTTCAAGCCTGACAGTAAATGATTTAACAGAAGCATCCTCAGTGAGGAAATGAGCAATGAAAATGCCTTTTGATGACAAATATTTGACCTTTTTCTCAATATATGTCTTTCATATAAAGATCACAGTTGTATGGTTCTCATGAACTCTTTCTTCCCCTGTATCTTTGTGTGCTGCAGTCTGAGTTGGAGAAGAACCGCTGTCTGTCAGACTCTCTGGAGCAGCGGTGCGCTGATGTTCAGACGACTCTAGGCGAGCTGACGGGTGCCATCAGCGGCCTCTTAGACCACATAATGCCAGAAGCTGTCACTGTCAATCTTGACAATGTCGTACACTTCATCAGTAAGTGAACTCTTACCCTCTTAAACCTGGTCGTAAATATACATTTCACTGAGCCTTCATTCTACTTCAGGTATCCTCGAGGAGAGCATCAGTGGCCTGCTGATGCAGGCCAACAACATGGAAGAGGAACAGATGGATCCTCTGAGCATGCTGTTGGCCAACTTTGAGCTGCTACCAGGTATTAAACACATTTCACTTTAACTAACAATTCTGTATTTAACAGTTTTTATATGGAACTGCTCAACTGTATACGTCTTTGTCACAGGAAACGAAGTGGTGGTGGAAACAGAGCGCGGTAAATCTCCTGCACGCTCGCTCAAGTCTGCCTGATCAGACAAACTCAGCGCCGTCGCATCTTCTGACACTTCTGATGGCAATAAACAGCTAGCATCAAAGCCTGTTTTCCTGTCATTTCTTCCATCAGAATTACAAGTATTTTTATATTAATTACATTTTAATTTCATAGGCACGGAGAATGTCTGTTTTTCATATGAGAGCATCAAGGTTAAAGCGTCGTTCAGGGGTTTATCTTGACACATGGGGGTAGAGGAACTCTTCAAGATAAAATACAATGTTTTAGCATATTAGCAGCTAATAAAGCTGTTGTGGTTAATGTGTTAGCAAACACATCCTGCAGATATATTGAGACACATTAGCGTTTTTTTTGGAGCTATGTTTCTGGCCTCCTGATGATTGTATGTTTAATATCCTGCCATAAGTGCTGTTTTGTCCTCCACCGACTCCTGATTGAAATATCTGTCTCTTTAGATGCTAAATTCTCCTCTATTGCGAGTAACTAGTTGAATGCACAACATCATAAATTACAAAGAAATGTACTTGTTATAAGTAACTGTTTCTGAGGAAAATTATGAAATTCAATTAGAGCCACTTAACAACATCCTGGTGATTATAAAGTGGTTTCATCTGAATGTATGATTTTGGTAGAAATACATATGTACAGTACAGCCAATCGTAATTCCATAATAAAGCTATTCAATATGAATAAAGCTGTTTATATGAAATAGCTTTTAAATACAAGTTTGGCAGTAATCCGTGTATAAGTGCTACATGTATAAACGCTGCCCTGCTATGTTTATGCTTTATTGCCTAGAACTAAAACGCTGTTATTTCATCCATTGTCAATACAAAAAATAAATCAGATTGGTGCATTTTAAGATAACGGTCATTCATCTGGGCTAGCAGGCACAGCTAAAGTTAAAGGGACAATCTGCTCCTTATTTTCCCCTCCTCTCCCTCAATAGCAACAGCCTGTTCCTAGAAACATATAGCGCTCAAATCAGATCAGATGTCCTGTGTGATCCAAGCCTTTATCCCTAACCGCGTCAGAAGGCAATACCTCAGTCTGTGCATGACCCCCCCGCCCCGGAGCCTCCAGCTGCCAACAACCAGGGATCTTCCCCCCACCCCACATCACCCCACCTACTGTAAGTCTAGTGAGGTAGTAGATGTGGGTTCGGATCACTTTGTGGCATCCTATTGTGTGTCCCCCCCGCTGCCTGAACCAGCAGCAGTGTAGCATATCCCTCCTCACATCATCAGGACACTAAAATAACAGCAGGGCTTTGTCTCTCTAAAGCCCTCTGCTTCAGTAGCCAAACATTTTAATGCTTGGACGTGCACAATACACAAATAACTTTGTACATGCACAGACATACACACAATGCCACACACTCGTTTTGGTTTAATCTCTTGGGCATTGTAGTGGACCACCAACCACTATTGTTGAGTAGACACATTCACTACCAAACATGGAGTCACACTGGTGTAGCCATGTGTTCAAGCATCAATCTGACGAGACAGTAAACATATGACTTACATGTCACCTCTTTTACATACTTTGTGTACTGTTTGGAATTGTTTCCCCATTGTCTTTATCAAATGTTTAAAAATCAGAATGAGAAACAGGCAGTATTTTAAAACTTTTATTAGACGAACATTCACAGACCTAACAGTTGGATAAAATACATAGATGGTGTGGTGAAGCGTAGGTAATGGTAAATAAAAAATATTTTGTTTGCCTCAGTTGAATGTAAGAACATACAGGTAGCAGAGAGGAAGCTCACTTTGGTTACTGTCCATTTTTGGGGCCTGTGAACGCACATTTTGTCTTGGGCTCCTGAGTAAGAACTGAGCAGCAGCAAAAACAAAGAGCCAGAATCTCCTTCACGGGCCAGGTTCAAGTCATGTACGGGCAAAAGATAAACGTTCTATTTGTTGTTGAAAAGGTTTACTCCTGGTCCTTCTCCTCTCCGTGGGTGATGATGTGAACCAGGTTCTTGTAATCCAGGTTTCCTGCCACATCTGGGGGGAATGCAGCGAACATCTGCTCCATCTAACAAAGAAGAAAACAGATATTAGGACTAACTTTATCAGTGATTTAGCACTTCACAAAAACAATTGATTAGCATTCATAAGATGTATGATGATGATTCATTGTTTTTGGCGTGGATCTAGATGATCGTCATGATGACGTGTATCTTCCTGTGTTTTATGGACCCACGCTAAAAGCAATCAGACATCATTATGATAATGAGGTTCTACAATATACCTCTTCAGGGGAAAATCGGTCTGCTTGCGTTGTTAGCATCTGTGTAACACTGAATGGGAAAAAAAGAGACAAAAATACAGCATGAGATGACGAGGCCTGTGCGCACCAGGAGGAAATGTGCCGGTCCAGAGGGAGCCGTACTGGGCTGAATCATTGCAGTCAAACTCAGATGCCATTTTAAATTGTGAGTAAAACGCCAACACAACACTCCTCTAAATTAAAATCACTTACTAGTCCTTCTTCAGCGAGCCTTTCGCCTCAGGGTCAAAGACTTTAAAAGCGTTGAGGATGGTCTCCTCTGGATCAGCACCTGGAGACATCAAAACAGTCAGTACTTTTCTCAGTTGGATCATGTTTTTAAATAAATGTACATCGTTAGCCAGTTTGTTCTTACCTTTCAGCTTCTCACCGAACATGGTGAGGAAGACGGTGAAGTTGATTGGGCCGGGAGCCTCTTTGAGCATCTCATCAATCTCTTCCTGTTTCACATTGACACGTCCTGTGGCACCACACATTCAACATATGAACAACTGAATAAAGCAGATTGAGTTTCTGTAGGGCAGTAAGAACATACTGATATACTTGAGTACTGGATCTTTGCTTTTGTAATACTTAACAGATTTTTTAATTTGTTTTTTTCCAAAAATTGAACACAAACATTTGATAATTCAGTTTGTATATAAATGATGGTCTGCTCTTTACACCATGAAAGTATTCCTCTAATACATTTAATTGTTAACACTTTATCATTGCCAAATTCTTGACTAACCCAAACCCTTTGTCGCCTCAAGAGAAATATGGATCTTAAGTCCTGTTGAGCTTTAGCCCCTAAACAAACCTCAAAGACTATTGTCGTTTATCAATAATAATGAATAAATCTACAGCTCCTTGTAGGACTGAATACGGGGGATGCCAACGTACCTAGAGCAGCAAAAGTGTCCCTCAGGTCGTTCTTGTCGATGAAGCCGTCCCTGTTCTGGTCCATGATAGTGAAGGCCTGAGGGCAGATACAAAGTCTTGATAAGTGAGAGCAGCCACATGCTTTCAACCCAATTCCCAGAAAGAAAGGATAATCACGTCACATTCTCAGTCTTATATATATTGTGTGTGTCCTCTTTAAAGATGAGCACTTTTAAGTATTAATAACCCGTGCGCGCCCCCCCACTGAGGTTTATCCCGGCATCCAGGGCATGCCCAGCAGTTTATCTGTAGCTCTAATCACTGCTGACACCGTCTGGATGTCTGAGCAGCGCTGAGCGTCACACCAGCATACCACCAGGCCAGGGCCAGGGAAACAGACAGGTGGGCATACTACACCGATGAACAATGGCAATGGAAAGACAAAGAAGGACGGAGAGCGGAGAAGAAATAGAAAACGATGTATGTGTTGCTGTTGTAAGTATGAGTCATGATCATAATATTCAACATGGTGAGCTAACATGCATATTCATATGTCATTTCTACAATGTGTGAGCAAAATCTTAATTAGTGGGGGGACGATATTGGTTGAGCAGCTTTCACCTCTTTAAACTCCTGGATCTGAGCCTGCTCAAACATGGAGAACACGTTGGAGTTGGCTCCCTCTGCTGTCCTCTTCTTAGCTTTCTTGGGGGCCTTTTTGCACAAAGAAAGAAGAATAAATGCAATAAAAATCTCATGGCAGTTAAGTTAAAACTATACAACAGCAATACAATTGGTTGCATAGCTTTATATCAGAAGGGGAAATACCATAACAAAGTGCATGACCATTAACTCATTTTAGTATCCTGCAGCAGGTCGAACATTGTGATTATTTGTCCTTGAAAAATATGGTGTTATTTGGGATGCATTAAATTAAGGTTGTTGCAATACATCCAATGTGCGGTACACGTTTTTAAGAATGAATCCTCTGCCATGGTAAGCTACTTTCCATCCATTGATGTTTTCAAATCAAGCCTCAAACCATCAAACTTGTCATTCATCTCATTACGCTAATGACACAATGTTTCAGTTCAGATTAAGACATATCACACGTTTTAAATGTTTAAAATATAAAGATTAAAGTGTGGAAATATGGCACAGCCGCACAGATACAAAAATAAAGTTAGCATCTTTAAAGCCAAATCATGTCCCACATCTGCCATCAGACAGCATCCCACACGCACACAGGGACTTACCATGGCTGAGCAGCTGAGGCTAACAGTGATTTCAGTGAACAATGGGGAGACGGTGGGCGCCCTTTTGTAGTCCCAACCCTCAGCTCCACTGGATGATATTTATAAACTATGTCCTCTTTAGGAAGTGACAGGTAAATGATGCTTCATACAGCACATACAGTATGGCTGCTTGCAAGCGCACACACACAAACACACACATTAGACAAAGAGATTGAAATAACTGGTTAAGAATATCAAGAGCAGACTGAAGGTTGAAACACTTAATGAGGTTAAACTGCCCTCTGTCCACAGAGCAGTCCAAAGTATAGAAAGGCAAGGTAATAACAGATTAATGTTTATGTTTTTATATGAAAAATGGTGCTAAGGGCACCCAGGTTTAGCCAAATGGGATGGGGTAAAGTCACAAAAGGAATTTATCTGCAGAAATCAGGCAGTTTAGTTTCAGCTGATCAGTTATTGGACCTAAATCTAATACATTTAAAATGTGTGCTTATACTTGTGTGTTCCAGTTCAGTCTTCAAACAATATTAAATGCAGTTTGTCCTCACAATGCATGACATATATAAGTTAGAAAAATGACGTAGCTGGTGATGATGTAGGTAGAATAATACATATTTTAAACATGGAGTAAAAACTTTTAAAATAAGATTTTAAAATCAACAAACCAAGAAAAAAAGGAAACTGTATATTTTTTCAAACAATTGAATAGATGTGCTTTGAATGTATAGATAAAATGTTAACTTGAAGAAGGATATTTCCCATAAACCAATTTGATAACCTTTGCTGTTTTAACACCTGCATAAGGACCGACATTTGAGCTTCAATGTCCCTACTTTCACTAACAAAATCTTTATCACATCTGTTTTAAAATTCTGAAGTGTGTGCAAAATATTTCTTGTCTTCCTTCGATTCAAGACGGGTGGAAATCACAAGCTCCTTGAGTGCGATTTATTGACCTGTCAGGACTGTTTTATTGCCATCCTTATTAATCACATCTAACCGTAACCCACACGCTTCATATGTTACAGCCTGCACAGCACACACTGTTTACAGTACAGTATGTGTGCTCATATACTCTCTCTCTCAATGATAAATGTATCTGTCCCATTTCGTCCATGAAACAGATAATCACACACACATTGTTTCTGATACTATTAGTAAAGGAAAAATTATATGAAAAAGAGTTGATGCAATAAATCAATTTATAGGTCGATAGAAAAATAATCGCCAACTTTTTAAATCATAGATTCATTTTAAATATAACTTTTTTGGCAATAATGGGAAGAAATGCTCAGTGGCGTTGCCGGGCCTGGGGCAAATGCTGCGTTCAGCCTCTCAAATATGTCTTCTGCTTCTTTCTTTATATCTGGACTGAAGACATTTCCACGGACTTTGAAAACTGGGATGGAACTTTTGTATCCACCAAACAATTAACTGATATATATAGAAAGCAAGCATCAGATTTGAGGATGATGAAGATAATCATTACGTATGTAGTTTGCACTCTTGTAAAACTAAGCTCGATGTTGTCAACAGCAGAAGGTGCGACATACTCAAGGGAGATCTGCTGACATTGAACACGTTCTTAACAATGTGCCATTACACCATTAACACGTCGTCCGGTGTCACGTGTGGCTCTCAGGTCAAGGAAAGTGACAGTGTGTGAAAATGAGCTGAATGGGCCGGGGTGCGGAGGCGATCTATATTTAAAGAGAGGCGCTGAAAGCCTCCCTGCACTCACTGTCACATAAAAGCTGCTGATGAACCAACAGCAGATGTCCCTGGCTCTCATCCCGCAGCATGCTGTGCACACGGAGAGCCAGAAGAGTTATTGTTGCAGATGCTATTGTTGAAAACGTTTTAACCCCTTCAGCTCTTCTCAGTTTTGAGCTGCAGCTACCGGGACAGGAATGGCAGCGCCGGGATCAGACGTTTAAAAATAGACCACAACACAATGGACGTTGACAAATGGTCATTTCACACACTGAAAAAACTGGAACGTTGACTTTAATTAAATGTATTAAGTCACCAGATGTCAGATAACTGTATCATGTTAGTTGAAAGCAATACTATCAAGTTGAACCCTTATATATTTTGCTTTTAACTAACCTAATGCAGTTATGTGAAATTAGTTGACATAATATATTTAATTAAAGCCAACGATTTCAGTTCATTTAAGTGTGCAGAAAGCACAAAGCTGTTTTCTCTTTTCTCACATGATGGAGCTCTGAGTCTGCAGTTAATAATAACTGAACAACAACATGAGGAGGCAGAGTTAAAGACAATGGTTATAATATTTAATATTCTGTGACAAAATCTCTACAGGGAACGCTAATAAAACATTTGTTAGCAGACATCAATATCATATCCAGCATATTACGGCATGATGATTCAGGACCATGTGATTAGATACAAATAAAAAAATTATTGAAAAATATAATAAAACAAGACGGGAAACCCTTTTGTTTATAGAGTCCCGTAGAGACCAGTGTAAAGCTTGTGCAATCTGTAGCGTAGGGTGCTTTTTGTTTATCAATTGTGACCAACCTTCTCGACTTTAATACATTCACGAAGAGTTTAACCTATTATAAGAACCAAAGCTGATCCAGAAAGTTGAGTACACCTCCTGTTGAGGGCCCTGCTGTTAACAGACTCACTGGACAAGTTAACGTGTGGCATCTCATCTGTATGTATTACTGGAAACATGTTGTATTTCTATAGATCAAATGATGATCTATAGAAATAAAAGTCAAGTTTAAGCAGTTTAACAATACAAGTGGATGGTTTTAAGTGTTTTTGTTGGGTTGGGCTGTTGCCAAAAGAGTGCCTTAAATAAAAGAAAATTGAAGTGTTTATACTCGTGAAGAAGGAGATTTTGTAATTCACGTGCTTCGTTGTTAAATCTCAGAATAAAAAATATAACCCAAATGAGGCAGAAGCAGAAGACAACACTCCGTTTCATTTCAGATATACATATCCATGCCATTTACGAACCAGGAGAAAAACAAATATTATTTTCATCCACCTTGAACACGTTTGGGTTATATACAGTATTAGGGACGTGGTACAAAAAGAAATGCTCAAGCACTATGTTGAAAGCTTCAGACGTCATCTTTTCCCCCTCCTGTCATATAGTTCAGCACTGAGGTTTTGCCTGTGACGGATGGAAGTGCATACACGATCCAGATACAATCACTCACTTAGTAAAAGGATGTTCGGACATATTAAAAGAATACTCATTGGACATTCAAGAGGACACATAATCACTTGTTTTTCTTTAACAAAAATAGACATGGCTTATCCAGCCTTGAAATTCCTTCTCAATATATATAAAATTATGTCTCGTCTATTTACAGTCAGATAGCGTTCTGAAGGATTAGAAAGTCCTGCTGGGGATTGTGGGTAGTGCAGTTTGTTTTAGTGTTGAGTCGACCTATGTGAGGGCAGACAATGGTGTGTTTGTGTGGTTCTACAGGGCAGGGAGGGTTCTGTTGATTTGTATTGATATTTCTTTGTGCTCCAGCCAAGTCCTGTCACCTAAAGTAACCATTGGCAGATTAGCAGATTGATTGTAATCAGCTGATAATGATTGTTTGTTGACATGTCAGCGCAGCACTGGAGCCAGAAACACTATCCTGCCCCGATCTGATGCTACTGTGGACGGAGCTGAGCTGAGAGGAGGACGTCGTGTTACTACTATTCTGCCATTTTCACTAGTGACTGACTTTTGAAATATTTTAGGCATCGATTTGTGTTGCTACGGCTGTGCTTATTTATTGTTGTCACTGCTGTCTGGAGTAAACTGGAACTACCACTGAGTCAGGTCTGAAGTGAAGAACTCATTTCCCAGTTTTAGTGAAAATGACTAATCCCTTCTACAGGTGCATACTCAAATACACTGAAGATGTTGTTGAATATGGCATTTTGTTGACCTTTATTGACTCGGGTGAGCTCTGTGAGAAACATAACCCGATTCTAATGACATCTCTTTATTTCTGTGGTTCTCTCGCTGTTCCGACGGCTACAGTTGTTTTCCTCTGCGGGTTGTCGGCTTAGATGTCAGTAAAAACTCGTGTGGTAGTGTTTTTCATCATGGATTGGTGACACTCGCACTGGTTCTCTGCTCTCTCCGTTCCCTTTTTACAGAAGATGCTTTTCTCTGTCCGTGTTAGGGGTGGCTCCGCTGTCCTCAAACCGATGATTGGTCCCAAACCTGAGAGAAACAGTCAAAGATAAGGGTTATTAATTAAACATGGAGTAATGGACCACCAAGGAATATTGTTCAAAACTGAACCAAACGTAGTTCAATATATTTTTTTAACATTTTTTATTAAACAATTCCTTTAATTTAGTTTTAAATGTGTATAGAATGTCATAAATATTGTATATGTTCAGTTTAAATAAAAACAAACAATAAGGGGGTTCTCTTTTCTTCACTATGTCATTATAGATTTGTAAAAATAAGAGCTTTAAAAATGTACACAGACAACTTAGTTTCCCAATTCCTGGTATTTGCTGTTATCTTGTACATTTTACAAATGTCTGTTACAATGTCCATACATCCATTTCATGTTCTACTTTTAAAACCATTTCCTCGTAAGAGCTTTTCTTTTCTTTTCACCAGATATATAATTAATGAACATTTGTCTCTTTTCAGCATTTCTCAAGGTGAGCATAAATGTCATCACAGATATTATCAAAGTGGTCACTGACTGTCTATCATCCTCAGAGCCACATTGCAAATAACCCGTTAAGTATTCCCTGTCTGCAGCTCTGTGGAGTAGCAGTTAGTTACAGTAGAATATTCAACAGTAAAAGCGAACCTTGTTGACCTGGTTAATGGGCGTGCGACCGGAGCCAGTGTGAAGCCTTTGGCGCTCTTCGAACCGTCCGGGGGAGCGCTCCCTGCGGACGTCCATCATGCGGCCAGGAGAGCGGTCCATGCGGGGGTCCGCCATGGCCCGGCCCGGGGAGCGCTCTAACCGAGGGTCCGCCATGGCCCCCCGGCCCGGAGACGCCACTATCCGGCTCTCCAGCATCCGGCCGGGCGACTTCTCTCTCTCCAGCGGGCGGCTCGGGGACTTGTCCCGTCTGAACTCTGTGCGGGCCTCTCTGTAGCGGTGGGGGGTCCCGGGGTCTCCGTGAGGATTGCCTGCCAGCCTCTTAGAGATGTGCTCATTGTAGGAGGGGGGGCCGCGCTTGTTAGGGCTGTTAGGGAGGAACCGGGGCACAGAGACGGGCGGGGGGGGGGGGGTCAAAGGAGGAGGTATTTGTGTCTCTATTGGGTCATGGGCTCTGCTTGGCGCGGTCGGGTCAGACACAGCTGTGGTGAGGATGATGGACTCACAATAACGTTTATTATTATTGATGCTGCAGCACATTGCTCTTAATGGTTTGAATCACCCAATCCATGTGATTTAGTTTGCTGAATGCGGAGATGTCAGTTTCAGTAGCAGCACAGTGAGTAACAAAGGCTCAGTTGGTAATGACATTCAAATTGGCAATCTCAGTCAGAAGTCTTTATTCAACAATGATCTTATGAAAGGAGGCCTTTAAGATAGCAATTATAATTGAGAAAGACGTATCTCAGGATCTGTTACAGATAAAAAATGAACTTTTCCTCCTGTAAAGAGCAAAATGAAGTCATTACTTCCCTATTTTATACGCAGATTCAACCTAAAGTCCAGGACTTCACCATCACCACGTGTGGATGCCAACCTGAGCCCCGCAGAGTCCCATCGACCCTTCAGCAACACCCGTGAAGTAAGAGTGCTTAAATAAGGAGGACTAAACCCAACCCAAAAAAATATATATAGTAAACAAGATGCTCAGGTAAAGAGAAAGGAATAAGTAAACACATAAACGCAGATCCATGTCTCATCGTTGACTTTTCCATCTGCAGGATTCATTATTCCCTCAGAATGGTTTTCCAGAGCAATATGAGCGAATGAAGGCACGTCATCATTTATTCATCAATAAGTAAATAATGCATGGGTCAATCAAACCCTTTATGGGATGTCCTAAATTGGTAGTTCAATTCAAGACAGAGTGAATACACAGTTATGGGAATTCATCTCATTTGTGCATTCTGTAAATGTATTTATTCATTTCAATGTTTTTGAGCAATAAATATAAATATGTTATTAGATTGGTCCTCCATATGCCGAACATTAAAACAAACTAGGAACAGGAGTCGAACATATTTTCAATACGAGTGTCAATATCCAACCTCTTAAGAATATGTTACATCTCAGAACGCATGGTGCCTTCAAATGGAAAATGTCACCAAACTAAGACCCAACACCAGTTTGGTGTGAATGAGTTAATAAAGAGAGTGTGAGCGAGGTTATTTCCTCGTGTTCCCTCACCTGCGCCCGGAGCCGCTCCTCTGCAGCTCCCCCCCGCCCTCCTGGCTCTGGATCAGGTTGCCTTTGCAGCAGATGACCCGCAGTTTGTTCTGGTAGGAGGAGGCCAGGTAGATGGCCCCGGAGGAGATGGCCGGGCCAAGGTAGCGGGGGTTCGGGATGTCCAGGTGAGCGTACGAGTGAGGCCTGGAATAACAAAGATTAGACCTTTCAAAAATAAAGCAGTGACTGAAATAAATGGGTCTTGTTCACATATTTACTGAGCTATAGCAGTATAGAGAGGCCAAGTCCCTCCCCTTCCGGTTGAGCTCCATGGGACCTTATTTCGGGAAAAGTATGTATTGAAGTCAATGGGGACAAAAAGATTATCTTTCGATCCCGTTTGAATTGAGCCACGAATTACACATATGATGTTTGTGAATTTAAAAGATAATTTTGCAAGTCAAGAAAATAAAAATGTGTCGTAAAACTGCGAAGTAACACTTTTTTTGTGTGAAACCGCTCAATGAACTACATCTCCCGTCTCGCACCACACACCAAGACGGCCGTCACGTTGACACATTTCACTTCTTTCTTTCAGAATGAGGCGAAAAGTATTAAAAGAGGTGAAAATCACTCCAAGTCTGGGCATGTTGAGAGCTGTACATACACACAAGGGGAGTTAGTCGGTTCCGTAAGAGCCAGCATGCGGGACCGGGATTCTGGGATTTGTAGTCTTTCTAGTTGCGTATTTTTCATAGTTTTATATTTCAACAGTTTTACGACAAACTGTGACTTTTTTGACATGGAAATTATTATTTAAGATTGACAAACATCATATGTGTAATTCGTGGCACAATTCAAACGGGATCGAAAGATAAGTTTTCTCTCTCCATTGACTTCAATACATAATTTTTACGAAATAAGGTCCCATGGTGGTCACCGGAAAGGGAGGGACTTCGCCTCTCTATTGTGAAATTGACTGTTAAAGGATGCTGATGCAGTGACTAGAAGACAATCTCACCCCAGAGCAGCGTGGCCTTGAATCTCAATAACATCCAGAGAGTTGAAGTACGTCACAAACAGGTAGGGTTCCCTGTAGGCTGAAATACAAAACACTTCAAATCTAATTGCAAATCATAAATGGAATTTTACAGAGAATAATACATTTTTAAGCGACATTTTAGGAAACTCTGATTTACACTAACCAAATGAGAGAGGCAGTCGGCTCCATTTGATGTCTTCACTTCTACTCCTGCGACCGTACGCATCCACAAACACACCGAACTCTGCAGGAACAAATCCAGGTATCACACAACACTGCAGGTGACAGTTAAAGGTATTATAATAACTTTTTAAAGTAAAATAGTCTCCTTGTAGGATGAATGTAGATTTTCTTGCACACATTTTCCTTGTGTCGAACTGCATATAATAAGGCTGGACAGCATTATGGACAAAATCTAATCTCACAATATTTTTGACATAAAACCTCAGTGTAGATTTTGTGACAATATTGACACAAAGGCAGTGCTTTACCAAAAATGAAAAACATTAAGAGCATTAATATATAGAGCAGCAGGAACCCACAATTATAAAATGACATTTAAAAAGAGTCAAAGACAAAAGCCAAGACAATCAAATAAAACTAAAACTAGATGAATCTAATATAGAATAAAACAGGTATTACATTCAATTATTTAAGTTACAGCAAAGTGTCAAATTGTAGGCTTGACTATTGGTGCTTTACACTATCAGATTAGCCATACTACGATATCCCAAATCTAAGACGATATTTCATCTCGATGATATCGACACGCTGCCGACTTCTTTCAAAAAGTACCGAACAGGTGTGCCGACACAATGAAAAAAACCGTCTTACCATGGAAACAGAGCAGGTACTCGTCCTTCTGTGGAGCCGTGGTGACCTGGATGATGGAGATGGGGAAGCTGTGCGAGGACGCGGCGAAGACGGCTGACGCCAACGTCACGTCGTTTTTATCCAGGAACTCTGTAGAAAGAAATCATCAACTCAGGTGTGAAGTTTCACAAACTTCATCTACCTAACAGGAAATATTATTTTAAAATAACATCCATACAGGATGAGGGTTTGTGTTTAACTCTGGCTGTGTGACCGACCTTCCAGCACATACTGCTTCATCTCAATTTCGTAGAACTTGTTGGTGCCGATAATGATGCTGTAGCCGGTGGAGTGGATACAGCTGCAGGGCTCTGATGTCTCAATCTCCTGCAAATACAAACACCACCGTTTCAATCTCATTAGTCCCTCAAGGAAACATCTACTTTGCTACACAACACTGCCTTTCCTTAATCTTCAAGGCACACTCACCTTTCTGATGCAGAACTTATTCAGGCTTTCATTAAGTCGCAGAATTGTAATCTTATTGGGCATAGCAGCACAGATACAGGTCCCATTATCAATCTGTAAAGAAAGAGCAACACCGCAATTCAGCTCGGCAGTAAAATGTCTTCAATCAGACAGCTCTGCTATTGATGTTCAGCTCATTAACTCTGACTAAACAACAGTCTAACTTAGGAGGATTTCTCTCCGTGTAACATCAAGATACCCACCTTTCCAGAGGAGAAGAGGTGGCAGCCCTTCACCGTCTCAAAGATAAAGGGGTTGAGGTCGGGTTGAGCCGGGAGGTGGGACTGAGACAGAGACTGCTTCACCTTCTTGATCTCCACCAGACACAAAGCCCTGTCCTCTCCTGGAGGCAAACATCACATTTAGTCCGACACAATGATCTCCTCTGTTAAGAGCATAAATACTGATTATTATAACTAAATTAAATACAAGATAGGGCTGTACTGAAAATATGTTTTAAAATGTAATAATTGTATTAACTTGCATGTATATTTATTCCGTCTAAAACAAAAGATTCTGAACAGTGGCAGATAAAGATTAGGCTTAAGTAATATCATTTGAATTATTCCATTTGTAGAAATAGTGGTGGCTGCATTGGATTTCTTCTGATTTATTTGATCAAAACTAGTGTGGTCCAAAGTCCAAAAGTCCAAATATATTGAAAAGAAACCTGTGATAGTTTCAAAGACTCTAGCTAAAATCGGTATTTTTTTTATGTTTAGCTTTTAAAAAACTGACTTATAATTGAGTATAATAGCCTTAATTTGACTTGAATGTACTGACCAGTGATCATCAGCAGCTTGTCGAGCTCCTTCAGGATCTGGATCTGGAAAACGGAAGTCAGCCCGGGGATGTGGGTCAGAGAGTTCTTGATGACGTTCAGAGCGTACAGACCTTCCTCAGAGCCAACCAGCACGATCTGAGGGAAAAGATAATGTGGATCATAAGAGCCTAATAAGTGAAACATGGAGCAGAGAGGTGGAAGGACACACATTTGAGGAGACATCAAAGGTAAGTGATTCCTGACAATGGTTCGGGTTCCTGTCCAAGTACCTGGTCAGTGAGAGGCAGGGTGCAGTTGATGTCCAAACGGTCATCACCCTCCAGCTTCAGTAGAGAGTTGCCCAGAAGTTTCTATACGACAAGAAGCAGAGAGAGAGGCAGAGAGAGAGAGAGAGAGAGAGAGAGAGAGAGAGAGAGAGAGAGAGAGAGAGAGAGAGAATGGAGCAGAGGGAGGGCGCAGGTTAGGCAGAGCTTTGACAAAACAGCTGCTATAAAGCAAGAAAATGAGACCCAGCAAAGATGACAGCCTGAGAGCCTTTACCAACTCAAACAAACATATTTCTGCTTTCTTCATCGATGAATGCTTCCTTCACTATTAAGACATGTATTTACCTTGGTTTACTGACATACTCCGTCCAAAAGAAAAGGCAACAGACTAAATATAAAAGTCCTGAGAGAAAACACTAGAAATGTACCAAACATCCGATGATAACCTTTTGACAGTTTTCATCACTGCTGCGGAAAAAATATATATACAAAGGATTTTTGGTCGGCCATACAAACAACTACTTCATAGCAACATTAACAGTCACGAAAGTTAGTTATATTCATTTAAAAAATGCCTTTTTAATGAAGCTGGACAGCTAATTATGATAACTGAATGCAGTGTGAAATAAACTAATTATTGGGTTGCAAAAGGGGGGGACATGAACAACATGAACTAGGCCATCATTTATTTTGTATTTGACCATTGGGTAAGTAAGTAGGACTATTAAGTATGTAGACAGTAACGCAGCGTCCACACGGCAGCGTGCGTTGAAGCTTGCCGTCGGGCGTGTCTGAAGCTCGACCAACAACCAATCACATGAATCTCCCGCCCCGGACACACAAGCACGCGGTTTGATTGGCTAGAGCTTGTACTGGCATATGATTTGATTGGCTGACGCTTCCGTCGGAGCTTGAAAAGTTGAACTTTTCTCAACTTTTGAAGCGAGCAACGGAGGCAAAGCGACGCGACGGAACTGTGTGGACGGGCCGTAAGCACCTCACCCACTGGCTCATTTCCTATTTTTCTAATATACAATAACACAGAGAGTCTGTGTGCATGTTCCGTTGATCCGAGACCAGCTAGGGCACACATGTTTCATTGGATGGAAACTAACTTGTGGCATTTCAATGCATATGACACATGAACCCCTTGAATGCTGTCACGACATGACAATGCCCTTGTGCACACCCCCATCAAACAACTTCAATAAATACATTCTTTAGAGATAGGTTCATATTTGTATTTTGTGCCTGTACTGTCACATGTGTACATGCTTTAATGTTCATTAAGGTGCTGTGCTGCAATACTTTTTTTTTAACCCTCTGTCTGAAACCAGAGCCCAGTCTGCTCTGATTGGTTAGCTGGTCGGCTCTCCTGTGATTGGTCAACCGCTCAGAGATGTCCCGCCTCTAACTTATCACTATAATGAATACGAGTGCTAGCCAATGGAAACGCAAGTGTTACATAGTAATGTCATTATGTTACGGAAGTTAACAGAGAAGTCCAATAGTGGAATTTCAGGCGAGGGGGGGGGGGGTGTGTGTGTGGGAGAGAAACTCCCTCTGGAGGGAACTTTGGGATTTTTGCCTTTGCAGACCATTAACATGCACAGAAACCTATATAACACACTACAGGTAATAGAAAAGTAACACTAATTCCAAGGGCCATTTATCACTACATGTGTGGTATGTAAAAGGAATGGGAAGGTGCTCCCAAAAAAAACAGCAATAACACACAACCACCAACAGCAGAAGCCTGCAGACTGAAGGAGTGTGTGCATGTGTCTGTCGTGTTTCAGTAAGGAGGGCTAAAGCAGTGCATGGCTTTTTGCAGGAGCATGCATGACATTGAATATGACACACCGAGCCATAGCTGCACAGCGGGGCCTCTTCTCACCCCTGCAACATGCAGGTTTATGAGGGTATGGTATCATTGCTGTGATCACAGGGCAGTTACTTCTACATCACATGTGGCCCTGCACTGCACAGCATGTGTGTTGCACGTGTGTGTTGAATGCGTAGATGTGTGCAGCGACTGCATGCTCAGCCAGTCGATGGACTGAAGCCCAAGCGTTCGTGCAGCTACTTACTGTACCTGAACCAGAGGGGATAGGTTCTTCTGTCTTTTAGAAGCACCTGCCTATAATATGATCCACACGCACAATATAATCACATCAACAGAGACGATGACAACACAAATACAAGACGTGGATGTTGAGAACATGCAGAGAGAGAAAGAAGAGGGAGGGAGAGAAAACGGAGTGAAGGCACTGGCTGATGTTTAATGGAGGCATTCAATATATTTTTACCCAATATATTTACACAATACATCCACCCTTTGATAAAGTTAATATTCAAAATGTGAAGAAGAAGTGAGTTTCATCTCGTATAAAGGAGACACTGAGCTGTCTTTCTTAAACATCCGATTCGCACATTATGAACCATATCTATATACCTGACACAAGCTTAAGAAATACCAACACACATACAATACTTACAGCATCAGAATCCACTTTGTCTTTAGACCCCCGGCTGCCGGCCACCACAGACTCCAGGACAGCCACCCAGCGCTGCTTGTCAGGGAAGCTGGGAGCCATGAAGTAGATGGACTGGCCCGGCCAGCAGGTGGTGTGTGGATGGGACTCCAGCTTCAACACATACGGTATGTCTGCGTACAAAGAGAGACTGGTTGGCTAACAGCTTCCTTTCACAGCTGAGCAGAACTGTCACCATTCTGTTGTATTTGGAGATTCATGTGGATAACATTTTGGGAGAGGATGATACACGTAAACCATGCAAAAGGCTGAGTGCAGCAGGATTAGGAGGTTATTGATGGAGTACCTGACTTGGCAGTGTTGATGAGCTCGGAGGCTCCGACAGCTCCATGAACCGTCACCTCTCCGTCAGGCAGACACAGCTCAAACTCCTCCTCCACTGTGATGTAGTCTAGAAGAAAAACAACACATGATGTTTTTATTGGATATTGCTGTATAGATCTACATGGGAAAATAAAGATCATTATAATCTGTCTAATAAAGAAATGGCAGAATAATAGCAATGATAGCTTTAATAGCCATTTCAAGTGAAGTACTGACCTTCTCTGGGCTCAGTTTCATAAATAGATATTTTAGTTCCATCAAGCACAACGTATTTCCTCTCCCAGCCCTGCTGACCACGCTTTCCATTTCTGTGTGAGCAAACACAAGCACCCTACTGTAAAGAAACATATGTTTGATGGCCAGTATTGTAGTAAAGGACTGAGGGATAAAAGGTACCTGGGCTGCTTCATCCATCCCTCCAAGCGAACATGGCCACTGGCCTCTTTGACCTGCAGTGCAGGAGAGTTGGCCTTTTCCCGGCACAGCGCCTCTGAGAAGTGAGTGGCATACTCAGCCGGCAGACCGCAGGTGGCCGGGAGACATGGGGAGCATTTAGGGTGACACAGGATGTTACATTCTAGAGAGGGGGGGATAAAAACGATTATTAGTGTTTCTTAAAAAATACATTGATGGAGTTCATATTACAATGGTGAAAGGATAGTTGAGAGGTTTTGAATAGGGTTTGTAGGGAAGTTTTCTGGTGTACCGCTGCTGTAATTGTGTGACTTACAGTAAGAATGTTTTTGTCAAAGGAAGTCTGGTTGCTTTGAATAATGCATAGATAAAAAACCTGGCTGCTAAATCCTTAGAACTGTTACAAGGTGTGTATTTTGTATTTTGTAAATTGTGTAACTTGCTGCTGTTAAATACCAACCACCTATGTGCAATATGTGCTAGATGTGCAATATATATAGATGCCGTTAATAACTGTGTAATACATACCTGGCTGCTAAATCCTAAGAACTGTTACAGGATGTGTATTTTTTATTTTATTTTTTTTTAATTATGTAACTTCTTTTTTATTTTATTTATTTTGTATTATATCATAACTTAGTACTTTTTTTTAATGCATGTCACATATTTAACATATGTAACATTAATCTGTCTGTGGCTCTTTCCTGCTGTAACTACGCAAATGTCCCCTCCGTGGGACTAATAAAGGGATTCTGATTCTGATAACGGCTTCAATTCCTTTTCAGAAAGGCCGTCTGACCACAAGATAACGTGGTGAAAATATCCCTCTGTGCGTTAGTCACTGACTATGGATAAGTACCTCATACAGCCCCACTTTAACTATCAGAATGTTCCCTCTCAAAGATCATTTGTCCTCTGAAATATCTTGGTATTCAGTGCTGCCAGCTACAGTGCAAGGAAACAAACCTAGACAAGTGGCAGCCTGCCGTCCGAAGTGAACGGTGTCCAGGCAGACGGTGCACTTGGCAGCTCTCATGTTGAGGCCCACGGTGAACCGGTGTGGGATGTTGTGGTGCATTCTCTCTTTCACGCGTCGGCCAAACTCTGCAAATGTAAAAAGCAGAAGGAGAAATGAGCAGTGATAGGAGTCAGTGAAAGAGAAACAAGTCGCCAGGATATTTCTCAAGTGCTTAAATCACTTCAGAAGTCAGCAACAAGTCCATGAGATTCTTATTTTTCAAGCAGCATGGGGCAATTTGAATAATGAATAAATAATGTATAATTTCAGGTGTTGTGCATATCAATGTTCAGTAATTATTAAATGAGTCAGAATCAGATTATGCATGCCAATGACCATGGGATGCATTTAAATGTTTCTCCAGTTGTAACCAAATACTATTGAGATCAAGACTCGGGGAATGATGCTGGAAGTTAAAGAGGAATACATCAAACTTGACCTTTAAGAATAAAGTCTAAGGTCAAGTTACAGGTAGCTTGACAACGGGACAATATGACAGACACACAGTATGATATGAGAAGGATAACGTGCATGGAGATGAGCTCATGCACGTGAGGGGACACACTGTGGTGACTGCTAACTTACTTTCAAAGGTGACCCTCCTCTTTTCTGTGAGGAGCAAGTGGAAAGAGACAGAAAGGAGAGAGCAGTCTAACAATAGCTACGTGAAAGCAAAGGCACACGGACAGTAAGGAACCTGAATCACAAAGAAGGGTTATCTGAGCCAGGCTCCCAACATGTGTGTCTGATAAAGCACACATCATGGTCTATCTATGGGTAATAGAACTGAACACGCTGTGGTACTAAGAAATTCATTTGGCCTATAAAGATTTTCACTCTCCAGTAAATGCAGTATTTTTGTCATTGGTTTATCCTTTTTTTAACAGATGCGTTCAGAGGATTATATGAAAACGTCTATACAACCTGCCACGCAGCTATGATATGTAAAGCGTTTCAGTTTCCATGGTGATAATCCCCATAAAAAGGCTAATTTAGCTTTGCGATAGTGGAAAGCCTGGATTAAATCCGATGTTACCTGACTAATCCACAACTCTTCTTACTTTGTGAGACAGGTCCAAGCAGGGTTACAATGTTAGCTGGATAAATGCACATGACTGAATAAAACTGAGTTTGTTTTACTTCAGTCCATGTTGAGCTCCAGGTTTAACTGAACACAGTTATCCAACTTTATTCAACTTTGTAATCCTGCTTTGTGATACAGACCATAGAAAAAACACACATGATCACACCACATAGACAAAATAAGGGAACAGAGAGGGTTTTTTTTTTGGGCCGACACTGACGACATTAGGGTGAACACTCTTATGGGGGACACTGTACAACTTTAAAACATGATATCCTAGGTTTAAATTCAGGCTGATTAGCTGGGGGCAACTTTACCTGTGTGTGTGTGTGTGTGTGTGTGTGTGTGTGTGTGTGTGTGTGTGTGTGTGTGTGTGTGTGTGTGTGTGTGTGTGTGTGTGTGTGTGTGTGTGTGTGTGTGTGTGTGTGTGTGTGTGTGTGTGTGTGTGTGTGTGTGTGTGTGTGTGTGACTAACCTTCGGGTGTGGCGGTCTCCTTGCTGCGGGTGGAGGGGTTGAGCAGGCTGCTGGGGTTGGGTTGATGCTCCGGGGATTTGACGATGGCTGACATGAGGATTTGATGTCGAGCCTGCGCTGGTGTGGAGGGAGCCGCATGTTCCTGGGCTTTGAAATGAGCCGCTGTGTTACAGACAAACAACAACAACAACAACCTAATATTAGACTAGTAATAGCCATTTAGATGAAACATTTTCTGGCACCATTATAAAAAATAGATTCTGAAATGAATCTCTTAGGACCTGGCAGGTGTACATAATGGAGCGAGATGATGCCATGGCAACAATGTTAAAAGATGGCCGGCATGAGATAAGGGAGGAGGTGCAATACAGAATTTCCTGAGCTGATAAAACAGGGTGAGCTAAAGAGTATCGTCTGCTGGGGGATGCAATAAGATATCATTCCTGCTCCATGTCTTTTGTAGTAGGTGGCTAAAGTCGCCTCTACATGATCAGTGGTAAACCCCTCTGCTCTGCCGCTGTTTTCCCTCTGGAGCAGAGAGCTTCTTATCATGTGAAGGCAGCTTAAACTCTGGGACCCACCCTCTTCTCTGAGGCATCGCAGCTCGATCCTCATCTTCTGCAGAGCCTCTTCCAGATCAGCGCATCTCGAGCGCTCCTTATCCAGAGCCAGCTTCATGTCCCCGTACTGCATGGGAACAGCCGGCTGGGCCTGTGGAGTCAGAGCCCCGTTGGTCGTCGTGCCAACATCCTCCCGCCGCCGCCCGAATATACCCTACTCAGAGAGGGAGGTCAGTAATGCTTTGCATGAAACATACAATATATACATTTTTAAATGTTAAGATATAATAGTGTTTATCAATCCAATATGTTTTTTTACATTCAAAACTTCAGGTTTTCATATGAAGCTTCTTTGAATCTCTGTTTTAATTAATATTTTATGATATCAAAAAGAAAAAAAAGAAAAACCTTGAAACAAAATCTTCAATTTAAATATCTGGCACCACATTTTTTCTGGGATCATCATTAGCCTTCTTAAAATGCCTCAATCCGTCTGGTGTTATTAGAAATGTTGCAATAACACGAGTCGGCAAAAATCCTAAGCCGCAACCGCTGTAATCTAAATCTACAAATAGTATAACTCTCATATTAGAAAATGTGTTCTCAGACCTTCTTTTTCTTGGTGGGCTGGTCCATCTTGGCCTGGAGAAAGTCTATGAGCTTGGTCTGCTGGGAGATGGTCCCCTCCATCTTCACCTTCTCGTGCGAGTAGACAGCCTGCAGGGAGGAAACCGAGCAGAGAATGAAATACCTTTGAAGAGAACTTGAAATGGATTCCCTTTGAGACACATGAAGTAGGGTTCCCTTTATCCTGCGGGTCCCTCTGAGATGCTGTGTTACTTGCCAACATCAGTCGCACTATTCTAACATCTAGAGGACACTTTATTTCGTCAGATTGCAAAAGGTATGCATTAATCCTGAAGTCAAATGTAATACCTTTTAAGACCTTTTTTAAGACCCTTTCCATACATTTTAAGACCTCATCGCCACTTCGAGTTTTAACCGGTTACATTGGCGACACACTTTACCTCACATTTACTATATACAGTATTGATTGTCCTTCCTCCTTATCTTCCAACCATTTGGACGCAAACTTGCATTTCCCCATAACGAGGTTGTTTAACAACCGGCGTAAACGGAGCTTCGCGCGCTATCAAGCAGTGAGCGTGCGATGTCCTGTTCAGATGACGTCAAATCCAACGGGATGCCATAAATAAACTACACAGAATCACACTACACACCTACGCAATGATTACATTCAGGCAGACTGTAGAATACAACCTCTTTGGACAATTTATATACTTATTGAAAACAAGCTACAAAATGTAATACCTTGAAAATGCTGTTTAATACTTTTTCGCTAAATTGATTTATCAACTTGTAATACTTTTTAAGACCCCGCGGACACCCTGATTAAGCACCTGTATATTCTCCAGCTGGTACTCCAGATCGGTCCTCTCAGTCTTGAGCATGTCGGTCTGGTCCAGGGCGTCCTGCAGGCCTTGGGTCAGACGGAAGATGTGGCTCTTCTGGAGGTCCATCTGCTGCTGAAGCTTCCCTTGCTGAGGAGACACGAGCAGACAGAGAAGAAATCAGACGTAAAATCAGCCACAAAGGTTATCTCAAAGTGTATTCCATTCGAATAAGTTACAATGGTCTTCTTGGTTTTATGTCGTTGAATGTGCGAGTTACAGGGAATAAAACATGTAAGTCAATGGAGTTTGTTTGACTGTGTTTATTTGGTTGCATTTCTCTCCCTACCTCTTCCATCAGTCTCTGTTTCAGTTCTCTCTCCGTCTCCAGTTTCTGCTGTAAGCCTCGGGCGTTCATCTCCAGCATGGCGTGCTTCTTCTCCAGATCGTTGAGCTGAGAATGTATAGAATAGAATCAGAGGGATGAAACCCTCTTTAATGGTCACACATGCAGAGCACACAGCACACAAAGTGAAATGTGTTCTCTGCATTTAACCCATCCTAGTGCTAGGAGTCTAGTACGAGGAGCAGTGGGCAGCTATTGTACAGCGCCCGGGGAGCAATGGGAGGGAGGGGGGGGAAGGGGAGTGTCCGGTGCCTTGCTCAAGGGCACCACGGCAGGGCAGGAGGTGAACTGGGAGCTCTCCAAGTAGCAGTCCACACTCCATATTTTAGGTCTGGTCGGGGACTTGAACCGGCAACCCTACTGGCTGACTGAGCCACTGCCGGACAAATGTGGATTTGAATTACAATAATAACAAAACATTATATTTACAGAGCACTCTTCCCAGGGCCTAAACACTTTTTTTTTTCACTAAGAGGACTCAAGATGGGGTAAGATCATAAGTGTGACACATGAACACTTGTGACTCACAGTATCAGACAGACTCTCAGCCTTCAGTCTCTGCTCCTTCAGGGCCTGCTGTAAGGCCACTATCTCGGCGTTGTGCTCTTTGACTGCCAGCTCCACTGCCTGGCGAGATTCAGTGCTGCGCTGGTCTGCACGCAGCCTGTGAACCGCACAAAAACAGTTCTTACGAAAGCATTTATACATACAATGATAGTCATTCTAATGTGAAATGACACCGTGTTATCATTTCATTTCATTTAATCTTTTATTTAGCAGGGACAATGCACAGTAATGAACACTTAAAACATTCAAATGTGTCAAGCGTAACAGTGCCAGATTTAGCTTTGAGCTCATTTCCATCCGCAGTCCCTCACATAAAACATTTAAGAAGTTTACATTTTACAAAAAGTAGCAAAAACAAAATACATGATATGCAAAAAGTGCAAAAGAGCAAGAGCAGCATACACAAGTATTTATGACATGGTAATACAATATAGCAGCAACGACATATAAAGTGCAAGGGAAGATACAAGAGATACCTAAAGTGCAAGAGGAGATACCCCTGAGTTAAAGTGCATTTAGCGGTGATTGCACGTCTGTTTGTTTCTCAACCATTCTTTCTCAAACATGTTTGTGCTTGTATGTCACCTATTCTGCTTCTCGTTGTCAAACAGTCTCTGCAGGTCTCTGGTGCGTCTCTCGGCCTGGCTCTTCTCGTCCTCCAGGGCTCCTCTCCAAGCCTCCCACTGCCTCTCCTTCTCCAGCAACTCGTCATTTAGGGACTCCAGCTCCACCACCTGCTCCTCCAGCATGCTGCATGTGGTCTTCAGTGTTTCAATGTTCTGGGAAATAAAACGAGCAAAAACTGTTAAGAACATGTTTCACAGCTATTTGGCACGATTGTTTGTTTGTTACGGGGAAAAGGGTGTTCTTTTCCCCGTAATGACCAAGTCGCTGCACATTATCCCGCTTATTACATGGCCACATTCTCAACAAAGTAACGATATGACTCCCAATATGAATTGAAATGCTTTTATAGATTTAGAAAATGTTTTTATTGATTTAAAAAATAGTAGGCTATTATTTATTTTAAATGACATGCATCCGCTAAGAAAAATAGTCCGTTGTTATTGTTTGAACTATGTAGCAACGGCAGGAACTGCTTCGATAGCGTTTTTGCGGACCTTTTTGATTACAGATTTGAAAACATCGTTGCTTGCTTTAAAAGTAGCACAATTCATTATGTCAAAGCTTGGAAAGTATCTGGCAACTGAATATGTTTTGCCGTTTGATGTCTATGTCTGGACCGCTGCGTAAAAAGGAGGGTTTCTGCCCCGTTACTTCTACTCTGTTTTCTTGTCCCTCTTGTCTTGTCGGTTTGAAAAGCAAACTTTCAGCCAAACTGTATACAGTTAAATCGACCGAACTTGTTTGTGCAGATGTGAGCGTCCTTAACAACGGTCAATAAGTCCTTGACAGCGGTCTGTCTGTTCTGGATTAACAACGTGTCACGTGTTCTGAATTGACCAATTAGAATCGAGTATTCAACTAAGCCATGAAAATTGTGAAATAATGCATTGCATCACTGGTCTGGAACATGAGGATGATTAGGGTTGAACACACTTTACACAATATCTACCAATGTGAGGTACGGATAATGTGTGTGTGTGTGTTACCTGTTTCTGGTTGTTGAGGTGCATCTCACGGTCAGCCACCTCCCTCCTGAGCCGGTCCACCTCCTGGCTGAGCTGCATCTGGTCCTCCCTCTCATCTGACGCCTCATCCAGCTGTTTGGACAGGTAGAAGTTCTGGCGGTTCAACTCTGCGTTCTCCTGACTCAGCTGCGTGAGCTGCTCCTCCAGTTCAGTGATCACCTGCGGCAACACAAACAGGAAGAGATGCAAGCATTACTTATGGTCATTAATGGATATTTTTCATATTCTGGCCAGAATGTCCAAGGAGGAAGAAGCAATTGAGTAGCAGCAGAGCTTAGCTACTGAAAGTGTACACTTTTACACCAATAATTAGTCATGTCGTCACGATACTGAAGAAGTACACTGATACAGAAAATCCCGTCAGTAAAATAATTGTGTTCAAGCAAGCTTTGAGTGAGTTGAAAATCAAAAAATAACTCAAAGATATTTTAGTTAAAGGTTGAAAGATGTTATTGGATAAACTTCTACATGAATATTGTTCATCTACTTGTTGTTCATGTCATCTCTATAGTTACATGAAATATTTACGAGTAAAAGATGTTGGGAGAATGTGTGCTTCCAAAGATTCAGTAGACTTCGTTGCTAATGAACATTAATCACCGTGTATTCAAAAAAGCCTTGTGTAACCTCTTCAAAATCGTTCTGCTGCTGAAAGCGGAGACAAAAGGTTACAGTAGCACTTACCGAGCAGCTTTCTCTCAAGGCCTCAAACTTGCGCTGAATTTCATCTCTGTGATTCTGGGAGAAACAAATGGAGAACAACATTTTTTTTTTCAGACTTCTTCATAAAATGATGAAAAGTGATATTTAGCTTACAGCATTATTTAAAATGGTCTGAAAAATGTAGCTTTCCAGATTGCCTACATGGGAAATGGTTTGCACTAAATGTATGTGCCCCTGTGTTTCTATGAGTGCCTCTGATTGCACACGTCTGTGATTGTGTGTGTGTCTCACCCTGAGGGCGGTGATCTCCTCCTCAGCCTCAGCGGTGGTGTCCTCCAGCTCCGTCTTGGCCTGCTGCAGCTGGCTCTCCAGGGCGTGACGAGCCGCCTGCAGGCTGCTGATCTGGGACTCGCGCTCCTGCAGGGAGAGGGTCAGGTCGGAAACCTGTCTCTTGATCTCCATCTTCTCTTCCTCATGTTCCAGGCCCATCTACAAAGAAACAGGACTAGGATGAATGCTGTGTGTATGACAGTATAAATCAGACGAGAGACAGATTGTATTTGCATGACATTTTTGGCATTTGTTAACCTGCGTATGAGATGGTAATAACCAACCTGTTTATAATCAACAAGAATGACTGAATCAAATCATTTCATCTGTCTCTTTACACACATGTATCAGAATCAGAATCAGAATCCCTTTATTAGTCCCACGGAGGGGAAATATACGTAGTTACAGCAGGAAAAAGAGCCACAGACAGCTTAATGTTACATATGTTAAATATGTGACATGCATTAAAAAAAAGTACTAAGTTATGATATAATAACAAATATAATAAAAAATTAAAAGTTACATAATTTAAAAAAATACACATCCTGTAACAGTTCTTAGGATTTAGCAGCCAGGTATATATTACACAGTTATTAATGGCATCTATATATATTGCACATCTAGCACATAGGTGGTTGGTATTTAACAGCAGCAAGTTACACAATTTACAAAATACACACCTAAATAAAAAGCAATGTTAATTTTGTTCACAATTTGTTTAGTTAGTTTACCTTATTTCTTTTCAAAAGAACCGTTAAGACTATCGTTAAAAGACCGGATCGATGAGCAGTATCGATAAAAGTAGTAGTACAGTTAAAACCTTAACGATCCGAATAATCGATTAATCGTTTCATTAATCGATTATCAAATTAGTCGTTTGTTGCAGCCCTACTGTCATAGTTGGTTAAACCTAAAAATAGAATCATTTGGGACCTTTCCCAACTTTTTTAAAGAACACATGCGCACTCCGTGCTTGTGAGGAGTGCTTAAACAAAATATAATGTGGACACTAGGGTGAATTTATCTTCTCCGTATGTGTCCGACTCGTACAGAGATAGAACGGTGAGTCTTATCTGAAAGTACATATATGTGTGAAGGAGAGAGAGAACAGGGTATGTGTAGGAGAGAGAGAACAGGGTGTGTGTAGGAGAGAGAGAACAGGGTGTGTGTGTAGGAGAGAGAGAACAGGGTGTGTGTGTGTAGGAGAGAGAGAACAGGGTGTGTGAAGGAGAGAGAGAACAGGGTATGTGTGTGTAGGAGAGAGAGAACAGGGTGTGTGTGTAGGAGAGAGAGAACAGGGTGTGTGAAGGAGAGAGAGAACAGGGTATGTGTGTGTAGGAGAGAGAGAACAGGGTGTGTGTGTAGGAGAGAGAGAACAGGGTGTGTGAAGGAGAGAGAGAACAGGGTGTGTGTGTAGGAGAGAGAGAACAGGGTATGTGTGTGTAGGAGAGAGAGAACAGGGTATGTGTGTGTAGGAGAGAGAGAACAGGGTGTGTGTGAAGGAGAGAGAGAACAGGGTGTGTGAAGGAGAGAGAGAACAGGGTATGTGTGTGTAGGAGAGAGAGAACAGGGTGTGTGTGTGTGTGTAGGAGTGCAGAAAGACCAGCCATTAGTGATAATCTGTGTTTCCTGTCCCAGTGGGGAAGAGTGTGTGGAGGTAGAGTTATGACATTCAGTCAGCAGGTTGTCCGCCGCCAACATCGACAGACAGCACAGCGGGGGGGCTGGGAGCTTTCACGGGAGGAAGGAGGGGGGTGGGGGGTGTTGTTCTCAATTACTTAAAAACTCCTTGAATCGAATTTGGTTTGTATTGGATGTACATACAGCTACATAAGGGATTTTGTGGTGCATTTAAAAGAGCAAATATAGATATCTGTAAGTGGATGTTGGGTTTGGCTGTGTCTCTCGCTTTGGACCTTGAAATACACCCCGAATTTTGTCCCTGATAATGTCATATAAACTTGTATTTTTTCCTCTGTATTTTAATTGTGTCAAACAGACTACATTACAGTGTTCCAGAGATAACAACTGAAGGATGTTGTTGGCTGCACTGGACCAGCAGATACAGCTTAGGCCCAATGGCTATTTAGCACGGTGCCATTACAGACCTACAGTATTTAATTAGCCATTTATCTGAAAGGGATCTGAGCTCGCTAGCTGATCAGCTGCCTTAATTCCTTTTGTGGATTGTAATGATGTACACGGTGTGCTTGTTAAAGTGAATGACTTAATCTAGCGGATTTTGCCTGGTATCTCTGCTTCCTGTTGCCTCACCTCCCGCAGCCGGCTCTCCAGCTCCAGCAGCCGCGTCCTCTTGGTCTGCTCCTGCTGACTCATCTTGTCCAGGTGCTCCTCCAGTTTGGCGTTTTGGGCCTCCAGCTTGCCTGCCTGAGACTCCAAATAGAACTTTTGCTGCCGAAGCTCTGAGATCATCTCCTCCTGGGCTTTCCTGACAATATACACAATATGCCAATTTCATTGTCTGTTTGGAAGCAGATGTCTTTCAAATACATAGTTTTATAGCATTTATTTAACACATACATGTCAATGGATGTACAGTAGCTAATTCAGTAAACAGTAGTTCATTCAGGTGATGTTAGGGAATTATTTGCTTAGGTATTCAACCTTCGACCCAGTTCATCGTTTTCTCTCTTTACTGTCTCTTTTCCCATGGCATATTCTACGGCCTTGGGTATTGCTGCTATCTCTCTTAAGGAGGGGCAGCTGGGCGCATTGTTGTTGCCAGCTTGTTGATTATTACACTCCGAACTAGTTAAAACCTGGAGCTACAGAAGAGTTCTTCAGAATTGATTGTGGCATCTCAACAGTGTGGTCAAACCGTGGCCCGTGACATGTCTTGTGAATTCTCCGGCCGAAGCTCCAACATCACTATTAGATTGGCACTAGTGAATCGAAATGGTAAACTTGTTGGCTGGACAGCTAAACATTGAGCTGCAAGCCAACGCTGCAGATTCATCTGATTCTGTTTGGGTTCATCACTACAAGAGACCCCACTCGAGTTCTCAAGAGTGTTTTCATGTCATCATTTGAGTTTGTTATTATTAAATGTTGATTACAGTCTCTTTAACCTCAGCGATGACACACCACTTACACACATGGGAGACAGACAATGCATGAGGCAAAGTGATGTGAGTGAGTGCACTAATGAAGCAGTTGGAGGCCGGAGGAGACAGAATCGGTGTGTGGGTGGGGGGGGGGCACTCATGAAAGCACAGTGTGGGCAGAAGGTCTAGTTAACTCACATATTCTTCTGGGTGTAGATGCTGCTGTTAGCGGCCAGCTTGTTAGCCTCTGACAGCTCAGAGATGCGCTGCTCCAGGTTCTTCATCTTAGAATCCATAGCATTAATGGTCTGCAGGCAGAGGGAGACACACAGAAAATAATATATAAATAATAGAATATATATATATTCCCATTGAAACAAAGCTACTAAGAATCCAGGTACAAATACACTATATGTCAGCAGCACTTTTTGAATTTGAGAAACTGAATTTTGCACTGCAGTCAAATCCTGTTTAAGTCCATTAGGTGTTGCCTGAATCTTCTACATTCAACGTCAGATGACTGTCTCTAAAAGCTCCTTAACTGCCTCAATGCTACCACGTTAACCAGATTAAGACTTGAGCTCAGGCTTTGTAGTGCAACATGAAGTATAATCTGACTCTCCAATACATTTCAGCCACTATAACAAATTACTGTGTAAAGAAACACAATACACATTGGTGAAGTCTAGCTTTTGAATCCCAGAAGAAATTGAATTGGACTTGAATAAAATATTAATGAGGAACAATTTCCTTCACCTTTTCAAAACACCTTTTCATCAGTTATGTTTTAGATATTTTGTGTTGTTTTCAATGGTGTTTTTATGAATTTGAAGTGTCATGAAGAGCACTCTAGAAATAAAATGTATTATTATTCATAATTATATTGATGCTGTTCCTACTATTGCAAAAGGAACCGCTAAAGTAGTCTTTGGCATTACAAAGTGAAAACAATTGCAAAACTTTAAATATTTTTTTAGGTAGTCTTTTTTTAAATCCCACCTCAGCAGAACGTACAGTAAATGCCAAAGAGCAATGTTTCGCATAAATTGATTTAAAATTAAAAAAAATGTGGTGGTCTAATGGATAGTGTGGTGGGCTGATGATCGGAAGGTTGCGAGTTCAAATCCCGCCTGGAACACCACTACTAGTGTGCCCTTGAGTAAGGCACTTAGCCCTCAGTTACTCCAGGGAGAATGTCCCTTGTCATTGTAAGTCGCTTTGGAATAAGGCGTCTGCTAAATGCCTAAATTGTCAATTATATTTTTGGGAGAATAAACCCCACAGATCCTCAACTCCGGTGTGTCTCACTCATTAACAACGCAACACAGAGCAATAAGAACGCTGTCTACAGTAGCCATGAACTCACGCATGTATTTTCTTATTTGAGGGGGGGGGGGGGGGGGGGGGGGGTGGATGCATGGGCCACCCAAATAGGTTAAGGGTGTGGGAAACACTGAAGAGGATATATTTGTTTTTAAAAGCCTGTAGCGTTTCCTTACAGCTTTCTGTTCACTGAGCATCTTGCAGTTCTCTCTGGACTCCTCCTGCTGCTGGGCTTTTTGGGCCTCCAGGCTCTCTTTGTCGGCCAGGTCGTCCTTCATCTGAGCCTCCAGAACCTTCATCAGACAGAACCAGCAGAACCATTAAGCACACAAATATCTTTCATTTGCTTTGCGTTGAGGCAATGACTAAAACAAATTCTCAAACTGTCATAGTTATGAATGGGAGCAGTAATTAGTGTGGTGTCAAAAGCACACTGTGAAGCGTTTGACAGCTCCGATTTATATGACTCCACAACAATGATTTAAAGTGGCAGGATTGACAAAACACTTATAGAGATGCAACGTTTCAGGAGCCTGGAGAATATAAATGTAGCTCACCTTGATCTTGTCCTCATAAAGCCTCTCCTTCTGCACCAGTTGGGTTTCCATCCTCTGGGCTGTGGACTGAGCATCCCTCAGGTTGTCCTCCAGCTCCTGGAGGGAGCAGCATTCAAAACAGGCTCAACAATGGAATCGTTTTTCACAGGGAAATTTAAATGCAGCTTTTTTCAAGCAAAATAACACAATATATTTCTCCCCTTTGTTGAGTTTTATAGATAGTGCAATTACTTTTTGGGGGAATTTTGCGCTATGCGACCAATTATTACTGAATAAAAACCCATCGAATACGATGACCATAAATCAAAAATGAACCAACAAAAACAAATCATCTTAACATCATGTTAATAATGCAGTACAAACAACCTATCACAGTGCTGCTTTGTGTAGCCTAAAACGCTGGATTTACAAAAGACAAAATGGCAACATCTACTTAACAGAGGTATTTTTTTCTATTAATTATACTCTCTTATCAAACACATCAAAATGAAGAGACGTGAAGAAACTTGCATCAAAAAGCTGGAACTCCAAAAATCTGCTGGTGCGGTGTCTGCTCATGATGACACCGGTAAAATGATGTGTATGTAAAAAGGTATCCACTCAGGTCTCCTCTAGCAAAGAGCTCTTCAAACTGTAGTGTGTGTGTTGTGTGTGCTAAGATAACTGATGAAGAGTAGACTGAGAGAGAGCAAGATGAATGGGAGGGGGGGGAATTAGGAGTTGAATGGGTCAGGGTATTAGCAGGCCTTATCTGTGGTTCTCTCACCAGGATCTTTTCAGCCATCTGCTGGATCTGCTGGGATTTGGTCTGAATGTCATCTTTCAGCTTATTCTCCCGCCGCTCCACCATCTCCAGCCTCTTTACCTGGTTCTCCAGGGTCTTCCTGCCCTCCTGCTTACACACCAAATAGAATAACATAAGGCCGACCACACACATTTCTCAAGAGTGACTTTTAAATGACAGAAAACAGTATTTAACCCTCCTGTCGTGATTGTTTCTCCCCCCTTACTTTGGTGTTCCTGGTCAAATTTGATCAGTCTGTTTTAACTGCTCTTAAATTAACACAAAAACCATAAATCATCACCAAATGTTATTTCAACACCCTTTTAAAGCTGTAAACAATGTCTCAGACTACTGGTTTACATTAATAACTGCAGTGAATAAACAAAGAATAGATAATACAAATGTATTCCAAAATTCACATAATCTAGGGTTACCCATTCATTTCCTATGGCGGTCTTTTTTGACCAGGAACACCATAGGTGCTACAAAGTTGACTCAACCAATCAAAATTCAAAGAAAGTGGTGATCAGCAATTGTATATGTTCAAATGCTTACTGTTGAGGATATCATAAGGCCTTGAGGCAATCAAATGTAAAACACAATATTTATGATTGATGAAAGTAGTAAATGGGTCAGATTTGACCCGAACGCGACAGGAGGGTTAACAAACAAAGCAGCATTATTTAACACTTTTGCATGATTCAGGATTGTGGGTTCACTCCGGTACCTCTGTCTCTCTGAGGCGGCGTTTTAACGTGTCACTAGAGTCGGTTTTGCCTCGCATGCGCTCCAGGTCTCGTTCCAGCCGCTCTTTGGCCTGCCGGACGTTCTGCAGCAGCTCCGTGGCTTCTGTGCTCGCTTTCACCGCCTGGGGGGGGGGGGGTCAGGAGGTCAGACGCTGTTAGTGCATCCCAAGACAAACCTCCTGATATGCTTCAGCAAATCCTACCCTCCGAGACATTGAAAAAATGCTTCTTGAGGGAATAAACAGAAAGCTACAGCAGGCTGCAGAATGGAATATATACTTTTGCTTTACAAAGGATCAGGAGAAATTACAATCTAAAAGGATGTATTCCCATTTAAAGAACACATTATCTTACTGAAAATCTGAACATCTTGAATATTACATAAGACAGTAACCAAGCCAGCATTGAATTTACCTTGGACAGTTTGTCCTGGAGCTCCTGGATGTTCACCTGCTGCTCAGAATTGGTCTGGAAACAAAGCACAGTGAAGTCATTAAAAACATGAACTGTAACCACAGCTGGGAGCATGTAGATCAATCTGACAAGCCTGATTGGTTACCTTCTCTAGTTTGGAGAGAAGCTCCTCCACGTCAGTTTTGCCCTGCTCTTTAGCCTGAAACGTAATTGGCATACAGTGGAGATCAATAGAGAACAATAATCCATCTGCTCTATAGTGGTTTCTGTGGAAAACGGGCAAGCGCAGCAGCCTTCCTATAGTCCCCAAGAGGCCAGAAGGGAGATGTGATTACTCCAGCAGAGGGCCCCGGGTCAGAGATGTTTTCATTTCTAAGCTGAAATCTGAATATCATATATTTAAGTGTATCTTTGAGGCTTCAAAAAACATACTATAATGTCATTTTCAAAAAGATATTTGGTAATAAAGTCCATTAGTCTGTCAGACTAAGTGGCCTGCAATTTTTTTATTTGATAATGCTGGATTGATGGCATCGACTTTTATATGACACTACAAAACAACCATAAGAGGAAAGGACAGTATCATACGTATATATGCTTTGTTTGATTGTGTGCTTGCCCAAGGAGCAGAGACAAGGAGAAGACTTAAAGGGGACCTATCATGCAAAATGCACTTTTGTACGTCTTTTATACATGAATATGTGTCCCCGATGTTCCAGGGAACTCACCAAGTGTCAGAAAACACAACCCTCTCTATTTTCCTCCATACCCAAATCTCAAAAAAAGGGGCTGCAACGGATCTGATAAAAACTGATCCAGATTTGAACACTGTCCTGACGTCAGGACGGTGGCGCTACGGCTATAGAGTGGCGAAGTCCCTCCCCTTCCGGTGGACCTCCATGGGACCTTATTTCTGAAAAATTATGTATTGAAGTCAATGGAGAGAGAAAGATTATCTTTCAATCCCGTTTGAATTGTGCCACGAATTACACATATGATGTTTGTCAATTTAAAAGATAATTTTGTAAGTCAAAAAAAAAAAAATGTGTCGTAAAACTGTGAAGTAACACATTTGTTTGTGTGAAACGCTCAATGAACTACATCTCTGGTCAACAACACACGTCACCAAGATGGCCGTCACTACTGTCTTGTCAACAAAACGATTGACTATCCTCACTATCACCACAATGAAACACGTCCTGAAGAATGTCATGCAAAGCTGCCTGCCTGCCTTCCTTTGATTCTCTCTGAACTGCCTGGTCGTTTTAATGTTTAATGTCAACCATTTGTGCAGATAGCATGAAGTAGAGAAGATCGCTAGCGTTAGCGTTAGCATTTCTCCCCCGGGCTTAAATTGTGTATTATAGAATGATCACACCGGTGTGACAGTACTATTCAAAGGGTTCACGAAATATGACTACTACTCTTACTGTTTAACATTTTGGGTTACTTAATGTTACTTCATGTTAAGGCTAATAAAAATGACAAGGCTGTAATGCTAACTAACGTGCTAGCTACTAGCTAGGTAGCTAACTTGATCAAGCCACTCCTGGTCCTTTCATCAGACGGGAAGCAAAAGAACGAGCAAGACCCATTGCTGGTATGATAACAACCTGGTACTAAGCACACAGGCATCTTGTTAAAGTTATCTTATCTTAGCCAGCGCCATATAGATAGATTCTATCTATATGGCGTTATCTTATCTTAGCTATCTCTATTTTAGTGGAGGAAAACAATTGTGACATCAGTTATGAGTGACATCACTTACGCGACTCTGGGATTTGTAGTCTTTCAAGTTGCGTATTTTTCATAGTCTTATATTTCAACAGTTTTACGACAAACTGTGACTTTTTTTACATGGAAATTATTTTTTAAGATTGACAAACATCATATGTGTAATTCATGGCACAATTCAAACGGGATCGAAAGATACGTTTTCTCTCTCCATTGACTTCAAGACATAATTTTTCCGAAATAAGGTCCCATGGACCGGAAGTAGATGGGCGTGACTTCGCCACTCTATTGGGCCAACTCCACCAATCAGGAGGAGACAGCCACGGCCATTGCCGTTCGAAAGCGCTGGAGACGCTGTAGTACATATGCCAGGCCTGTAGATGGCGCTGTTCTCACATAATCAGCCCTTGCTAAAACAGAGCTAGAAAATGTCAAATTGAGCAAAATGAGGCATGGCTAAAATGCATGATCTGTTTGGTATTTTGAAAAAAAAAAGTATAAATATGCCTTATATAGGTATGGTCCTACACTATAAAAAGAAATGGGACAAAAAGAAAAAACGTAAAATCTTCGTCTTTGTGAGCTGGCACGTTTAAGATTCTAGCTTATTTTCAGTGTCAAACTTTCAAAGCTTTTATTATGTATTTTTCTTCATTGTAGTGTACTATACGAATGCTCAGTTGTGACCCCTTGTTATAGGTTTATATAGAATACATTGCTGGCTTATGTTAATTATAAATAACTAAATGTAACAGATGTTCCAACCATACAGTCTGAGAAACTAACAAAAGTAGTGTGTACTTTAGATTTGCATCTCAATGATTTGAGTAAAGTTTGTTATCCGTGACCCTCCTTGGCACCTGGCAGGTTTTTCCAACAACCAATAATGATATTCAATTATGTTTCAGAAACTAGATACAAAACATGACCCTCCTAATGTTACTTGATGCACATTTGCATTACATGAGGTATAAACATGTCTGGTGTGAAACATACCTTCTGGATCCTCTGCTGGTACTCCACAGCTTTCCTCTTGAGGTCCTCACTTGTTTGCCGGGAGTCTCTGAGTTCAGATTCGTAGAGGTCGCTGCGGCGCCGGGCAGCGGAGAGGTCCTCCTCCAGCTGCCGGATGGTGACCTGCATCTCCTCCAGCTGAGCATGGTACTCCTGCACACACACACACAGCAGACCGGGGTCAATAATGTGGAAGACAAAGCCATCCAGAAACCGACTGTAAACATTAAGATTTGCGGTCAAGTTTCACCAACCATATCACCGTCTTACTATCTCTTATACAATACAATGTTGTGTGCAGAACAGGACTGCTGATTGAAATGTGACACCCCTATAATAAATGTTTTGAAACCTGCCCAAAGACTTCAGGCTGTGATCACACTCATTCTCTGCAAGCTTGAACCAAGTCAGTTGGCATCTAAGTGAGAAGATCTTTATTTATTTTTTTAGGGAAAACACATTTTCTTTCTCAACAAAGAAAAACTTGTCAAGTATTAAGCCGTGACATTTTCAAATATGAATTGATTAGAAAACGATTGAACTCAGCATTGTTTTAGCACATACCAATGACAAGCTAGTTTATTCAGTGTGTTTTTCTTACATAAATGTTCTATTTAGGCTTCTTCATAAAAACAGTGAGCAGGTTTTTATGTGTACATTTTGACAAAATACAACAGCAGAGGGAGTTTGTTTAGAACGACTAGAACAGTGGAGCTGAGCTTAGTAAGAGCAACAATTCCTGCCAATGGTACCCAGACCAAGATACACTTTACAGATCTGCTGACACGGTTTCATTGTGCAGTGATCTATAGGAACCGCAGTGCACTAAAGCAATGTCCATTTATCACCAAAAGTGTCAAAATCATAGGAAACAACTCAATGATTACAACTTTAAAAACTGCAGTTGGCAACTCTGCACTAAATCAAAATAACGGTTTTATCTTCAAAAGTGTTTGCAGAGAAAACATGTTGGTAAACGCATAGCTTTGTGATGTGTAACTTAATGTATACCAGTAGACACTGCAGTAAGATACACCAGGCCACTCCAATGGGTCTCAGAGTGTTTTTTTCAATTGTAATTTGAGTCCTAAATGTTGATTAAAACATGTTAAATACTGTGTGTGGTTCCACTGGGAGGAGGCTGAGCGAATCTCTTGAGTAGTGATCAAAGTCTCCTGCAACTTTGTAGCTTGCAGGCATGCAGTTCTGCAGGAATGACCTTTATGGAGGTGTTGAGGACGAGGGAGTCCTCAGAGGGGAAGCCCCTCTTGCAACAGGGACACACTGAGAAGAGTCTAATCTCCCTGCTACTCCTTTATCAGCTAAAACAGCGTGAAGAAGACACTGCGGAAAGCAGAAGAGTGTTCTCAAATAATATGAAGGCGTTTTGGATGAAGGAGGAAATCAGTTCAGTTTGCTTTTCTTTAGCTTAAATACCTTGAAGTGTTACAAAAAAAATCTTAAAATGCACCACATCATTATCGTGATGAGAGGGAGGAGACTGCGCATCTCTTGAATGAAAATGACATACTTGCTCTTTGATTTCCTGCAGCTTGTTGCTCTGTTCACGGATGTCGTGCAGCAGCTGCAAGGCCTTGTCATCCTCTCTGGAGACCTCCACACGCGCCTCCTCCAAGCTCCGCTTCAGGCTCTGCAAACACACATGTGCCACCACATAAACTCAAGGATGCCATTTGGACAAATCAATACAGATTTTTGTTGAGGAGCGGAGGACATGGACACCCAATTTGTGCATGTTTAAACATTTATTCAGATTCTGCACACAGACGCAGTTGTTATGATGACTCACACTGCACTCAGTGATGTAAGTGGCGAGGTCTTGCTCCAGGATGCCCCTTTGAGTCTCGGAGGCCTTGAGCTCCACATCCTTCTCGTGGAGCACTGACTCCAGGTCAGTCATTTTACGCTGAAACCTGGAGATCTCCTGATCCATCTGTATCCATCGGAGAACAGCACAGTTACCATTTCAGTGAAACTCTAAAGGTCGACAACTTAAAGCGGTTTTGCCTTGAAGGTGCTCAAATTCAGAGCTAAAGATAGCTAGATCACCAAAGCAATAATGCTTCAAATGGGTTTGTAATGTTGTACACAACATGAATAAGTTGGCATGTTACAGCAGCACCAGAAGCCTGTTGATCTGTGTTCAGTCAGAATAAACATCTGACGTCTGGTTATAAAACCTAATCTAATAATTAAGTATACATAAGTATTATAAATCCTACAATATGGAAACATAGATAGAATACATGTCTCTGTTTCCAGTCTGCAAACAGTGGTCTTACTTAGTCATTTCTGTCTTGGTTGATGAAGCTGATTTTACATTTAAAAATAAGAATGACTCATTTGTCATTGAGGCTTGTGATGAATGACTAAAACATGTATAAAAGAGAACAAAATGGCGTGAAGTACATCCTCACATTGTGACATTTGTCTTGAGTATCTTGTAATTCTTTGCTTTTAAGATGTAGCTTCTTTTCCATAGAGTTGGTCTTGGCAGGAGAGTTGAGGCCTGCAGACACTGACCTGAGAACAACAACAACAACAACAACATGTATACATGTTTAGAACTAATCTAAACAAACACAAATACTAGCTGCTACAGCTTCGTAGCACTTAAAACATGAGCATGTAGTGTGTGTTAGCCGCTTGACAGTGATTTCATTGCAGAACATTCATTAACAGATCCTTCAGGACTCAGACTCTCTAGAGGGGTTTTATAAAATTGAAAAAAATTACAAATATGTAAGCTTACACAAATGCACTTTTTCAGAATGTTGTTTCTATTGTGTAATGATGTTTTGATATACATCATTACATTGATTAAAGGCTCAATAATCCAATATCATTGATGCAAAGTGAAAACATTGATACATATATCATCTTTAAGATTCAATAATAGGTATTTTTAAATACCAACATAAACATTTAAATGCCTGGAAGAACCCATTTATAAAATTGCCAAATCCTATTTTGAGAGTTGATTTAAATATAACTGATTGTGATTTACTCACCTAAGATATCGTCTGGATTGCTTCCCTAATTATATTGAAAGAAATGGTGGCGGGCTTTATGGCAAATACTGCATTGTTTTTAAAATAATTGATATATCCTTTTGTGATGAAACGTGGGATTTACACCCCTGGTAGAGAGAGCATTCATTATATCACAAATTCTCAAATCATTTCAGCTAACCAGAATGAGGATAAGTGAAAGTCTCATCATGTTCCAGGAAGCCTGTATTGTGTCTGAAATTAGCTCGCTGAAACGCAGACACAACACCCACTCATCATAAATGAGCAGACGCAGAGCATGAAAATAAGCATTGACTATAGCCGTCTTTAGCAGACGATTAATAACACCTAGTCATAACACAAAGAGTTACTGAAATCAATTAGGAGGATAACATTCAGAGTGTTTTCGAAGTGAGGAAGGGCAGAGTATAATCCATTCATTGTTCAAAACAGACTGCATAAACAAAAACAACCGCATAGTAGACCTGGGATTATTTTAGTTTGCCCGACAAAATAATGTGACTGTAGGGAGCTGTAGTGTGTCCATTGCACTTATTTATATATATATTTATATATATCCTTGGTTATGTAAGACGATGTCCTATTTTTTGTCCATTCTTTTGGAATAATTTGGAGCTCACATTCAATGTTCACCCTTCCCTTGGCCAGAGAAAAGAGAAACTCTGAATAGAAGTCCTCTAAATAAATGAATGGGTCTGTATGAATGAGTTCAGAAATACAGCAAGGGGATCTTTAATAAAGTTGACTCAGACTGAGTCACAGCGTTAAAAATAATCACGAAGCAAGAACAGCTCCCTTCGCCTCTGCATTGACGATCATCCCCCTGACACACACACACACACACACACACACACACACACACCACACACCACACACACACACACACACACACACACACACACACACACACACACACACACAACACACACACACACACACACACACACACACACACCACACACACACACACACACACACACACACACACCACACACCACACACACACACACAACACACACACACACACACACACACCACACACCACACACACCACACACACACAACACACACACACACACACACACACACACACACACACACACACACACACACACCACACACACACACACACACACACACATCACACACACACACACACACACACACACACACACACACACACACACACACATCACACACCACAAACACGTCTGTTTCACAGGAATATAGATTAAATGAGAAGGCGTACTTCAGCATACTGAATCTGTTGCAAATTAAAAATTCATAAAGTTCTTCAGTGCTTAGTTGCAACGTCTTGGGGGGCTACTGTATGGATAATATGACAATTTAAACGTCCGCAGCGGGGGGATTTCTGCATGTTTATTCATTTGTCCTTTTGTAAAACGGCCATGATGAATTGAAACTGTTGATGAAGATGGAGGGATTTCTTCTTCACCTTCAACTGTTTTCTCCTGCTTCTTGTCACGTATGCTTTAGATTTGGAACTAATAACGTTTGCAAGAAGCATGGGTAATATTTCTACTGTTCTTAAGATTTTGTAGGCAAAATAGGAAATAATTGTTTTGACAAGGGAGGAATATGCCAGCGGAGGAATATGTTAGTTGTCATGTCTATGTTCTGTGGAGGGAACAAATAGGGAGCCAGTGCGGACTGCATTATTGAAGGGATTCAAAGAGAGCCAGGGACTTAGGGAAAGTGTGCAAGGTAAAGGCGTTGAAGCACTTATGTTTGTATTATTTTTGTTTACCCAATAACACATACATTCACACAGGCATGCACATGTTGAAGGAAATGAACACACATGACCAATTTAAACAAGCAGGGTGGCAAATGGAGTCATTTGTGTAGAAAGTGGAATGCACTAACTGTAATTAAATCTAGCATTAATAATAACTAATGAAACACAGAAAAAACAATGTTTAAGAATTCAATAATGAACAGACCGAGCAAAAAACATGCACGTTTTTTAGTTCACCTCAAGGGGCCATTTAAAATAAGACTAGATAAGATATACTTTATTGATCCCAATTTTGGATATGTATTCATCCCAGCAGCATGGAAACAAGGCATTGTACAAAATGTGAAAATTAAAAAGACTATGAAATAAACAGACATAAAAATATAATACAAACATGTGCCACCGAGATGAGGATGTCCAATCAGTGTTTACAGTAAATGTAGTCAAAGCAATACATTCCTCATTGTGGGCTCAATAGAACGAGATACTGAGTTAACAGCTACAAAGTTGCACTATCTACATCTACACCTGTCATTTGGCGAGAAAGGACTTCGACACTACAAAATCGAAGTTGTTGTTATATTTGTGTATAATGACAATAATGGCTTTCTATTCTACTCTAATCTCCGCCTCTTGGTGGCCAGGGGACGTGCATGCTCTCATGCCACTCAAAAGCTAAATTCCTTGTTCTCTAAGCTTGTGCTGCAAACTAGCTAAGTTTTGAACGATGAAAAATGGTCACCCCAAATATGAATGCAGAGGATGTTTTGGACGAGGATACAAGTTATTCACAGCCAGAATATACGGGCGAAATTGAGCGCAGAGAGGCCCTAGGCTGCGGTTTTGCAAACGGATATGGCTGGCGGGAAGCCTACAGGCGTCAGGAAGTCGTTCACAAACCTCCTGGAACATGTAGGCAGCGTCAGCACGGCTCCACAAGCAGGAGAAATCGGCTTTTTCACTTCAATATAGCACGCAGTGGGGAATGCATTGCTTCAATTGACTCCATTTACCATTAACACTGATTGAACATCCACATAAATGGTGGCACATTGATTAAAAAAGAACAGTTTTTGTTCAAAATTAGATTGATTATCTATGACTGAAACATCTATATTTCCGATTTAATTATCCTTTTGCTTTTCAATTAAATGACAAAATGGACTCAGCAATTCTCATAATATGGATATATTTTTTTCCTTCTTCCAAAAAGGGAAATTTGGGCTCAACAGTGGTGCCAGAGAATAATTGAGAGAGCCATTAAGAACATGAGGAATGTCATCGGCAGATTTTTGTAAATATGGCGTTAGAGAGATACAAAAAAACAAGTAAGTTTGCCACTTAAATGATAAGAAAACATCCTCTGGGGACAATGAATATCCACATCATGGCCATCTGGCAGTAACCATGAATGGCAATCTGGTCAGTAGTTGTCAAGATGTCCTGCTCGGTACCTAATGAGCCTAAAAGCCACCTTTCAAGGACTTTCTGACACTAAACCCAAGATAGCTTCTTATACATTTGAGGCGAGGGATTTTGTTGTTTAGTTTGACTAATGAGGAGTCAGACAGACAAGTTCACACAGAATGAAAAAAAGAATAGCGGGAACTCCTATTAGCATTTCATTATGCCTGGCTCTTGGTTTATTTCTTTTTGGCATTGTAATGAAGAATGTGTACACGCATATGCATGCACCCACACACACACATTTGACACATTTCTCTGAGCTCTGAGTTCCTCCTAATTAAATGCAGCAAAGCAAACGACTGGCTCCAGTTAAAACCCATGAACAGATGACTGATGGTGTAACAGCAAGGGACAGAGACATTAGAAGAGGGAGAAAATAAGAGGAGGAGATGAGACGGGTAAAGATGGGGGTGGGGACTGAAAAAAAAAAAAAAAACATCACGGTAGTAACCATAGAAATAGATACTCTCCCCCAATCTGGGCTCTCATCCTTTTCCTTGTCTCATCTGCTCATGCTTTTTATTTCCTTTCAGTTGCTGCTGCTGTCTTGATCCGCAGTCTCCAGGACCATTAACCTGCTAGAGCACTGCCATGGGGGCTACAGCAATGAAACCCACCCTCTTGCGTTATTATCAGAGGTTAAGAAGCCAAACACATTAGGGATAATTGCAGTCCCAAACCCATGCTATAAAAGTCAGGAGCCCATTATGCTGCACAGTAACAGAGAAAGCTCAATAACAGCAGCGAGGAGGGTGGGAGTGTGCCGATGTCTGGGGTTCCACCTCTCAGCAAACCTCATTGACACACTCAGCCGCATACCAATCAGTGCCGATGGCGAGATAAAGCCAGTTCCTCGGGTCCTCTCAATTGATGTATGTATGTATTGGAACAACTATGTGCACTCACAAAGCACAAAAACAGGAATCAGATACGGAGCGCAGCGGAGAAAAAGGGGGTTCCCCCCCTCCCTCGTTCCTGGTCTGACACAGCATATGGCCAAACCCATTTTGGCCCCAACGGGCACAATACTAATGATGGGGACACAACACCGACTGCACAGGGCACCACACTAGATGACCTGACACAAGGCTACCTGGAATTTGGAGCCATGGTAATGAGGGGTCTATTGGCAGAGCAGCAGCCAAATGTAGCGTGGGGTCTTTAACCAACAAAGGTGTGTGAGAGAGGTGTATGCAGGGGGTCTCTGCGTGACTACAGGAAAAAAGGGGGGTCGTCTTTGGAAAATAAGCCAAACAATGCCCAGTAAACATGTAGCACTTACTCAGTTTTGGCCAATGTTGTCAACGCTCTGCTGAAGAACCAGCCTAGAAAGGGCAGATCCTGGCCCTGGAAGCCCGCTGGCAGAGCTCCTTGCTGGGCTGCTGGGGCTGGCCGGGGGGCTGCCTGCTCCGGCTCCTCAAAATTAGAGGTGTCATCTTCAGCGTGCAACGCAGGAACGAAAGGCGGGAGAACTGCAGGAGAAAGGGATTGAGTGAGAGAGGGCAAGGAAAAAAGGAAGCAGCGACAAACAGAGCGGTAAAAAAAAAATTTACAAAATAAATAAAACACAACAAGGAGAAAGGGAAGAGAAAGGAAGGGAGGAGGAACGGAGCAGAGCTGTGGGAGCCTAGAGTGCGGTAAGTCGCGCGTTGCTGCACATGCTGCCTCTCAGCCTCCCTCCCTCCTTCTCCTCCTCTCTCTCTCATTCACACATGCTCACTCACTCTCCCTCACTGCAGCAGAGCAAGCTAATCAGCTGGACCCGAGCTGAAGCATAAAGCTCTCTCTCCCAATTGTAGAAAAACTAAGTATTTTTATGAATAAAATCTTTTTTATATGCAATACTCTTTGGCTCTTTATATTTATTACTTAAAGACAATACATTTGAATTTTTTTTCTCAAATGAATAAATCTCCTGATCAACACACAGGCAGAAAAAGCTCCTGCATTCAAAAACACTGCGTGCTAAAAACCCTGAAGATTTTCAACAAACAACTTCATTAACATTCAGTGTTGATATGAATATAAACAGCTCGTAGGGAAGGACTGACATAGCAATGTTTGATAATGGCTACAAAAAAGGTGTCTGCACATCAAAAATAAACATCATCTCCCATGCAGCTACACGTGTGACCATGCCTCACTCAAAGGGTGAATGGTATGGGTGTGTTTTCCCACGGCTGGTGAGGTGAAACTGTGAAACTCTTTGTCATTCGGTGCACATGTGATGGCGACAATGACGTTCAACAAACGCACATATATTTACGCCACAGTCTGCTGTGTCGCTAGCACTAAAGACTTGTGCTGCGTCTGTTGAGAAGCAGATGAGTTGCAGATCTTTACTCTGTCTGCCTGGCTTCTTGTCTCTGCCTCCCTCCCTAATCTCCTCAGGAAAGAGCTGGCCTACTGCCAACGGCACACAGAATCTCATTATTTTACTACCGACAACCCCATGGCCACGCAATCCCTGTTTGTTGACTATGTGCAACCCCACGCATACAGCACACTTATGTGTATTATAAACAACATTAATATCTGACACCTAGTCGTAAATCATCTCTCCGGTAACGTGGATACAGCAACACAAAGCATTTTCACAGGAAAGAAAGAAGAACACTCTCAAGGGAGAGGAATCTCCTCACCTTGTCGTAAGTGGTTCCAGTCGACACTGGAGAAGAAAGAGTGACAGCGGAGTCCCTGGAAACCCAGTCTCTGTTTGGATCCACAAAGCAAGCTCTGCAGCAGGTCTACAAACTGCTTGCTGGCCCGAGGCTCCTCTGGAAACTTAAGGGAATGCTGGGGGCAAACCATAAGGACAACGATTCAGAACACGATGCAGATATGACTTCAGTTCAATCAGACTGCAGTACGATGGGAACGGTTAATAGACAGCAAGCTGTTTCAGGTCAGAAAGTGACGATGTCAGCACCGGTTGAGATGAGAGTACCTGAAAGTTGACGATGTTTTGGATTGTCTTGGCAGAAGAGTCCCCAGAAAAAGGCGACCTGGTGTAGATCATCTCATAAGCTATGACCCCGAGGGACCACCAGTCACACTCGACACCATAGGTGCTGTTTGAGCCGCCATTCATGGATGCCAGGACCTCCGGGGAGATGAAGTCCTGGTTCCCAACATTCACTGTGGGAGTTTCAACCTGTAAACAGATCAATAACACACAATGATGTCACTGCTAAGCACAGTGAAGTCATAAACAATAAGAGATGGTAGTGTATTCTTACTTATGCTGCAAGGAAGAACATTTTATTGCATTGGATTTATGACGGAGTACCAACTGCTAAAGGCTGGCAGAGTGCCGTTTGATTTAGTGCAACTACAAGACGAGAAGATGTATATTACATAAAAAAACAGACCCCTTCTTTCAAATTGGGGAACTTCTACTTGAAATGTGTAGAGTCCTGTGATATTATTATTGTACCCTCTGGTGTTAAGTGTATGAATCAATCTCTCTTTGGATTTCATAAGGCATCCATTTTTTAATTGTGTAATTGCGTAAGAAACAAATAAATATACTGTCCCCAAAAAAAGTCGGTACATCGAGCAAACTCTGTAATCTACTTACGGTTTTGTTAGCATTGAGCCTGGAAGCTGATCCAAAGTCTGCCAGCTTAATGTGACCGGTCCGATCGATGAGAACGTTCTCCGGTTTGACGTCTCTGCCAAGTGGATAGTTAAGAAGGGATTTGATACAGAGCTGTTTGTTGCCTGAGTACTGTAATATGTTTACCGCTCTGACGATAATGGAATACATTTGTAAACTTCAGCAATGTTTTTGTATTACATAACGTCATACTGAGTGCTTCAGGTTAAATTACATCGCTACATTTTTCATGTCCTGTTAATGTTTGCCTGAATAATGTGTTCCAGTAAAAACAAAAGGCAAACAAAGAATTACATTTAGCAAGGATCTACAGTAGGAGTATTTCTATAATGATGGTGTTGGACAAAGGCCTAACACGTGATCATTGAGAGGTTGCTGGGGTTTTACCTGTGCACATAGCCCAGCTGATGGACGGCGTGAATGGCTTCTACCAGCTCAGCCAAATAGAACTGAGCCATGGACTCATCAAACTGATCTTCGTATCGGTTAAGCAGGGACATCAGGTCACCGCCTGGCAAATACTCCATCGCCTGAAGACACATGTGTGTGCAGTCAGAAGCTGGCAGTATAAAACAATGGCTGGCAATTTGAATGAATGTGTTAGTTAGATGAGATGACGAATTAACAGCTATTACACGCTGTTGAAACATTTATGAATGCCTTTAAATAGGTCTATATTTAGAACGAAAACAAAGCAACAAGTGTAGGTCTACATGCGTTTGAGCTCACATCAAAGCCCTATCAGCTTAAGCTTATCCGCCCGTTCTCTGCATTATAGATTCAGTTATGTAACAGGGAGTACTAAAGATTGCAGATATATCTGAGATGCTGCAGTCAAAGGATTGGTCTCCCATATCTGAAATATTTGCAACCTCCTCCTCAAAAGCAACATACCACAACCAAAAACTCATTAAGCATCTTAAATGAAAGTTTGGAAACACAAATCCACCGTGGTTGTGTTTGACTCAAGTCCTCTGTTGTGCCGTGTGCACCCTGAGATGAAGAGCCACCGGTCTGGCTGATTTAAGCTATATGGTGGTGGCAGCCATACAGCCACAACAGGCGAGAGCTCCTGGTGCATGAATGGTCGGCGAGTCTGAATGAAGGGGAGCATTCTCCAGTGTTACCTAGCAACAGGGAGACTGGGTGCCTCTCTGACACACGGATAAAGATGGATGCTTTGTATTTCCCTCCATGCTCAGTTAGGGAGCAGGGTAAGACAGAAGGGGGAGGAAAGGAGAGAGAAAGGAGACATGCAGGGGGCATGACGGAAAGGTATAAGGAGAGGGAGAGTGAATGAAAAACAAAAGGGCAGTATACAGTGGGAGGCTTGGCGAGCCAGGAAAGGGTTGTTTTCCTGCACCATAAGCCAGTGTTACAGGTCATTAGAGAAAATATCGATCCTCTGTGAGGTTAACAGCCGTCACGATGCTTACACTGGACAGGCTCTCTGAGCTTCACCGCTGAAGATCAGACTGATAGGGGGATATAACATTATGGCAAGAACCCCCCGTTTCCTTAACCAAAGTCAAAGGTCATTTATATTTCTATATATTTAAGCAAATGAATCCACCGGTGTTTAAGTGGAACACAAAGGCTTTGGAACAACTGTTAGCTCCGCTTGATTTATGTGTTTTTCTCTCTTTTATCCGCAGTTATAGTGTCTGGGATGGGACATTATGATTGTTGTTATTAAGTTACGATTTGGAACAACAACACTAAAGACTGCGGGTCCTTAGAGGTCCAGTCCAGTGGAATTGCCGGCATTGAATAATGTCGTTAATCTGAAGAAAGCCCTGGTGACTCTTAGCTTTACTGATGGCTCGCCTGCAGGCTAACAAAAATAACACAACACAACTTTCAAGTTGCTGCAACATGGCTTTTCCCTGTGCTTGCTTCAAAGCATTTATTTGGAGATACAAGATGTTCCTTTCAGTGCTCACTTCAAGTCCCTTCCTGTAGCAGCTCATGCACTATTCTGACTGATCTCAACTGTTGTATTAGTCACGTTCTAGAAACCACAGCTGTGAAAGGAAATGGTAATATGACACATTCTAATAAAGTTTTCATGTTCATTGCCTTATATAACATTTGTATATGTTCTGCTCTTTGCATGAAACACATACAAGAATTAAAGACATTACAGTTGTAGTAGCAGGTCAAGTTTATATATTGCAGTTAATATTTGAGTGGGTAATTATTAGGTTGTTGAATGGTGGATTTTTTTTACCTTTTAATGAGATCAGACCTTTTCCCTGCTTCTACTTTGTGAGTTAAGCAAAGTAACACTTCCTGAAAATGTTCTCTTTTTGCCTAACTGTGGTTTTAATACAAAATAATAATATTTCTGAAAGTGATAAGATTTAGAGTCAATATGTTGAAAACGCATTTACATTACATTACATTACATTAATAATGTAATCCAAAGCGACTTGCATACTCAATACAGTGGGCAATCCCCACAGGAGCAATTTGGGGTGAAGTGTCTTGCCCAGGGACACAACGACATGCTGACTGCAGTGGGGTTTGAACCTGTGACCCCCTGATCCGAACACCAAGGCTCTATCCACTGCGCCACACGCCTCCTTAGAAGTTGACTTTGAAATATGCTACTCTTTGTGTAGAGACACACATAGAAAACAAGACCATGAATATGAATGGTGTACGATAAACACTTTTAATATAACGTGGTTGGTGCTAGGGCTGCTCGATTATGGCAAAAATCATAATCTCGATTATTTGGGTCAATAATTGATATCACGATTATTAAAAACGATTATCCATTTATTTTGGAAATATCAATTTATTGAAAGAGAAATGTGAACAGTATGTTTTTAACAGTTGACTAACCTGAACTTTAAGTATAATTCAACAAAAAAAACAATACAAATAAATTAAATTAAAAAATTAATTAAATTAAAAAATTAAAAAATAAATCATTTTATTTCGATTATGTTGTTTTCATAATCGTTGCAAGCCAAAATCGTAATTGCGATTAAAATACGATGAATTGAGCAGCCCTAGTGCCCTAATCATTTGAGTAACTTCTTTACCATTGTAATCCCATAGTTCACAAAGGAGTTTATTCACAAAACACACAACGCTCTGAAGTTAAAACACCCTCTCTTGTAAACAATGGTAAAGCTGGCAGTGGCATCACATTTGTTCAGTTAGTATACTACAGTTACTAACTGAAGTACCATCAGACCCATATTACAACACAACACCTGTAGTGAGTAGGACCCTGGGTATTAAAATGTATAATCCACCCACAAAGCACTGCATAATGTTTGCTATTGGCTTGGCATGTTTATGACACAATGACTCCCCTTTGGTCTATGGCAGTTTGCAAAAGACCCCCAAAGCCTTGTTCTGATAAGTAGAAGTGTATGTAAAGGAACCAGTTCAGTTCATCCTCATAGTCAGAGAAGAAAACAATCAGCAGTCTCACCAGGTAGACCCGTTCTGTATCCTGGAAGGCGTACAGAAGCTGCGGGATCCAGGGACTGCTGTTCAGAGCCAAGACCCTCCGCTCCTCCTCGTGAAAAACCACCTGAGAAGAATTAAAAAGGAATGACATCAGTATATAAACATTACATAAATGCAACAGCAGTGCTACACAGTGTTTGTCACCCACATTAACGCATCTGTCTAAAACACTGAGAAGCTACTATCATTAAAGCTCCAATGGGGTTTCAATGTTGTTATTTTATTAAACCATAGGGAACATTAAAGTACATTTCAAACATGTCGACACTTGGTTTATTATGCACTCTTTGTCGACTATCTTCATTTCATGTTGCTCATCGCCAAAGTGGGAAGTAATTGTGTCAAAGAATATGCAAAGTAGGCCCAGGTGGTGTGAACAAAGCAGTTCATGTTCATACAAGTTGTTAATTGTATTGCTCATTTTAGGCCCTTCCTGTCGGAGCTCATGTACTATTCTGACTCAAATATATTCTATTAGTCACATGCCAGAGAGCACAGCTGTGGGATAAAGTGCCCACAAGTTTTATTCGACCCTACAACCCCCTCCAGTGGCGCTTTTTCAGAATGCAATGTTTTTGGAACAACAACAAAAACCTATGATTGCGTGGAGGATATTGCAAACATAAAAAAAAATGCTAAAGTTGACATTCGATATACTTCCTACTGGTTGACTCTACTGTAGTATTATTATAGCAGTCACTTACATTTTCTTGAGTGCGTAAAACGGCCTTCTCCATGACCTTCAGTACACAAACATCCCCAGTTGCCTTCTCTCGGACCACTTGGACTTCAGCGAAGTGACCACGGCCCACCACTGCACACACTTCAAAGTCAGCAGGACCAGGCTGCATGTTCCGCAGCTCGGAGACCACTTCAGAAACTGATTCACAAACACACCGACAGCATTTAATTCTTTGTTTCTGGGAAATTAAGTGACACACATTTTTAAGATTTTGAAATGTAAATGTACTATATTTACAAAAATGTGTTCTATTGTGATACACAGTGACATACACATTGAACTTCTATTGGTATGACATAAATGATGTCATTCTGGTATAGAAAATAACAAACCACTATTGGTATAATGGTCTTTATTTGCCAATTGTAAATATTTGAACTAGAAAACAGAAATAAAATAAAAGAATAAATGATTGAGTGTTATAACAACATTGGAGAAGTTGCAATATTTGTGATAATAATGATGCAAAAATCACCATTGCCTCCGTTATCACTAATTAAATATTAGCACTAAATGATAGATATTTTTTCCACACTGTTGAGCCCAAAACAATAATATTCTTCAAAAACAAAAGCTCCAAAAACATAAATAGGCATGTTTAAAAGCTGACCCTATCAAATCAACTGACACAATTCAGACTTTCCACTAATGAGATGGATAACACAGATAGACAATAAAACAAAAAACAAATAATATCATGCGTGTGTAAAGGGTATGCTTACACTTTTTGACAAAGTTTGCCACATGATGTATCTTCATAAGCTCTGGGGACATGCACTCCTGGTAGAGAAGCAGCAGAGCCTCCAGAAACTCCTCCCGACCTAAAGTGCCTCTTCCCTGCGGCCCACACAGGCTGACTCGGCCCTGCACACGGTACACAGACACAGGATCAGCTGCTGACAGTTACTGCGGCTGGTTTTAAGACGTACAACATAGATTATATTAACTTTAATGACCCCAATGTGGGAAACAAACATAAAATAATGAAGTATAACAAAATATAATTAAACAGAACTAAAAAGTTAAATATAGACATATTGACAGTGAAAAATATATTCTGTAAAATGTCTGTCAAATATACACAATGCAGGAGCAATTACAGCTAACAAAATAAACATGTAGGATATTATTTACATTAAGTGTGCATGACACAGCATATTAAATGACATATAAATGTAAAATGTAATACAGTGTGAAGACACTGTATATACAGATGGAAGAATCATGTTTTTTTAAGGAAAGTTATCAAAGCGTAACTATGGAGCAGTGAGTTCTCTGCTAGCCAGAGGTGATTTGTTGTACAGAGTTATTGCTGTTGGCAGGAATGACTTCCTGAATCTGTCTGGAGCTGAATGAGACTGTTTGAGAAGGAGCTCCACTGTCTGTGCAGCTGCTGGTGGAGAAGGTGGCTGCTCGTCTACAGTTATGGCATCGGGACATCAACGATATACACAACTTTACCTGAAATAATTGGTTGAGCCTGGAGCTGCGGCTGGTGATGGGGTCCGCAGAAGACATCATCGTTTTCAGGCTTCCTTGACTCGCGTATTTTAACTTCAACATTGTTTCTTAACAACAGACAACCTGTGCGAATGACACACAGATAGTAAAAGGAAGTAAGTACTCAAATGAAACGCGTTGATTAATAAAAGGTATCTATGACGGAGGACGAAGGTTTTAGAAAAGCTAAGGAAATAACTGTCAACAAATGTCAACAAAGCGACCCTTTAGCATGCTAAGTTAACGTTAGCTAGCTTTTGCTAACTTTGCTATCAAACAAGAACGTTGACACGACACGTAGAAGTGTCCTTCAGTTACTTTTCAAGAGACCAAAGTGTACGGGAGGACTTTACTCACCAGACTGCCATGCAGGTTATTATAATTTAGTCCTAAATATACACTGAAGCATTGACATGATAAGGAGCACACTGTTTTCCTCTCTTCTAACGTTGTTTCCGGTCGACTTTCAAATTTTGCGCGTTTGCCGCCCACCTCGCGAGCCTGCTGAATGAAGGTGACGTTTGATTGGATCACTGGTCTTTTGAGGGCGGGACAAGCTGTTGTTTAACCAATGACTGATTTTTCGGACCTGTCATTGATTTTCCAGACAACAAAAGAGACTCTTGAATATTAGAGAGTACATGAACGGTAAAATGTAACTTTATATATATAATGACAACATATTATGACTCATAGTATGTTATAATAATAGGTTACATAGGTCAAATTATAAAACTCATAATTTATGAGTTTTATAATTTGACAGGTGCTTTACTTTATATCTAGCAGGACTATTTGTTGGGATACATGTCACTAATTTTAAAGGGGTAACATAATCTCATTTAGCAATGTCTAAATTAACCTGTTGACAAAGTTGTCATTTTGAACTGATTACATTACATGCCCATCGCTTTTAGGTCACGTCAATATTTTACTTTTTCCTAATTTTATAGTGCCAAATTACATTTAACAGACTAATGGGAATTTAAAAGATATATATCAATATTTGATTTCTACTGTCCCAAAATTGACCTAAACAAGTGCCCATTTAACCATTTAAAAAACATTTAAATATAGTTTCCCAATGCTGCTCCTCATGCTTCATAGACATGCAATTTTAACAATATTGTGAATAAAAGAACACTTCTCTAGAATTATTTCTGCTTAATAAATAACTTGCAAAAATGATCAGAAAACCAAGATCAGGGCCAAACCTTTATTTCCAACAAATTAACATGTTTCATTATTGTCAGTTACAGTTTTCCAAAATTGCATGGTGATATATATATTCTCTAGAGTCTAGACTAACAGGGGGCGTAGTATAGAGAGACTGGGGACTGGCCAGCTGCCTTTAGCCCGGCCCGGTGGTGCAGGAGGTGATGGTGTTAAAGTTGGGGTTGAGTTTGGGATTTAGGGTTTGGAGCAGGGTTAGGATTGGGAGTGGGGTTTGGTTTGGGAGTGGGGTTTGGATTGGGGTTAGGTTTAGGAGTTGGGTTTGGATTGGGGGCAGGGGCGGGGGCGGGATTGGGAGGTGTAGGGGTGGTGGCAATATAGCACCCTCTCTTGTGCCACTGCATGTCCCGCACACGTCGGACGGACTGGATCTGAGGTGCATTGGCTCCCCAATCGTTCCAGTGCTTGAAATCTCCATGCTCAAACACATACTGGTGCCCTCTGTAGCCTGGGTACATGTATCCCACCCACCTTCATGGGAAGAGAAAGAGTAGTGTTTTACTTTTGCTTAAAAATAGAACAAATATATATGACATTTACCACTAGAAAGGTTACAGCTTACGTTCCATTGATTGCCTTTGCACTGGCCACACGGTCCTGGAAACCATATGCCCAAATACTGGGGACGTCATCATCAACAATCTCCATCATTCTACCTTCAAACACTGCATTCTCAAACAGGTGCAGCTTATGATCTGCACTGTCCTGCAGAGAGAAAAAACAATAGGTTTATCATGTTTGAGAGGATCTGTGAATATTACACTTATTATACTGACCACTTTCAGAAGCTTGAATGAGCTCAGGTTGTAGCTGTTCAGACAGTTGGTCCAGGTGCTCCAACGGGGATATTCTCCTTTCTCCAGCACAAACTGCTCTCCTGCAAAACCTGGACGCTCATATCCCACCCATCTGAAGGTAAAGAGAAAATGCATTACATCAAAATGCTAACAAATAATGCTAAGCAAGAAAAACAGCTAGAAAACTGGATGCAGATGCAATAAATATTGTATGAAAGTCAATGAAGTGAAACTAGATTACTCACGGTCCAGACTCCACGATGATTGAGCCGACCCTCTGCATCTTCTCCATCACATCTTTACATTCAGCAGACAACTCCACCTTCTTTCCACGAAAGTTCTCAAACTCAAAAACTGCCAACTGCAAAACAGGTGGAGAGTCGGGTGAATGTGATCTCCAACAAAGTCCAAGTCAAGGTATTTCTGACAGATCTCAAATTGACACATATATAATCATTTGTGGACATGTGATTATTGAGTTACCTTATATGTGGCTCCGGCCCCTCCTTGGCCCTTTTCTGCTGGCAGCTGATCTGGGGTTCCCTGCTTGTCGGTCATTTTGCCTCTAAAGAACAGCAACAACATTGTTTAATCCTATAAGCGCCAACTTCGGATTGATTTGTACTCTTAGGTTGTTTTAGCTGTAATTATTTGGGGTATATACAGTTAATTGCACCAACAACAATTATCAAACTTTGATGCATCACAGGAAAGGCTTCAAGCTGTTTTTTTTATCAGAGCTGCTTGCATTGATAGTTCACAAATCTACCTTTGCAGACCTTTTACTTGTTTATTTAACGTAATCCTATTGTGTCCATTCTATCTGTAAGAAATCAAATCACATCAACAGTGCACGCACAAACTGCTTCTTAAGAAGCAAGCAGATAGAAGAAGGGACAGGGAGACAGGATAACAAGAAAAGCCTAAAAGAGAAGGAATATCTTAATTTGCTTTACCTGGATTGCTTGTGCTTCACTGCACCACGTCTTTCCCCTTTGTTTTCTTTCTTTCCTGTCTGTCTCAGTGTGAGGGTGTTTGTGGGTGTGGAGGCCTGGCGAGCGTTCTGTAGAGGCCAGTGGGGGTATTTATGGTTTATTTCTGGCCACAGCAGCAAAAAGCCTGTTGATGCAGCAAGTCTGTCGCACCCATTGTGTCCATCACACTGCTTCTCAATAGGCTTGCCCCTCTGCCCCTGGCACACTGGCAAACGCTGCCATCCTGCCCATGATCCAACAGCGGGTGCACACGCACTGACTGCTGGCCAAGAGAATGAACAGAGATCAGTCTCACTCAGCAGTATTGGCCCCACACAGCTATCTTGCAATGATGTCTTCTGCCTGTTTCTTCATATTTATCTTTATATAGGATCACCCCAAAATCAACAATACATATTTTTCCTCTTAGCTGGAGTGCTATTTATCTATTCAGATCTTTTGGGGGATGAGTTGGAGATACCAGCTGCTTAAAGCACTTTGTTTTATGTAAGAATGCTAGTGACAGCATGGGATGTAAACATGTAAGATAGGATTAATTGCACCCTCCTCGACTTAGATGTAACATTAGGAGTGCCCCTCAACTTTTTGTAGATGCACTCTTTCTTCTAAACGGCAATGTGTTAAGAAAAACGTTCCTATCCGAAAACTGCACACTAAGTCTTGAAATGATTCCTGGAAAGAGACACTGCTGATAAGTGTTTCAAATTGATTTCCTGGCTGCTTTGAGCAGAGTGCCATCTAGTTCCATTATATTCGAGAGAAGGGAGACATTTTTAGGGCTTATATCTCCAACACTCTGCAACTCGCAGCAAAACAGTCTAAATTAATGATTGGCACAACAAGAACACATATCTATTTCTAGATAACAATGCATTAGTGGACACAATACATGAGACTTTGTCCAAGGTGTATCTTAAAACTGACCGGATGGTGTGTATGTTTGAATGCTCCACTTCCACCTATCTTTTTCCATAAAAAACCACACACTATTGCATTTCATAGAAAAAGGTTTTAATAAAATTCCCTCAATTTCCTCTTATTATACATGACATTGATCATACATGATTACTGCATTGATGACAGCCACTCTTTAACATTGAAAAAGGCACATAAAAGCATCTCGAGCAGATGATTGCATTTTTCTGGGTTTCATATTTTACAAAAACAATTCCTGATTCTGTTACAGCATAGAAATATACTTCACCAGCTCACTGGTGATGTTCTGACAAGCTACTGGACGATTGGACAAAATCCAGGAAGTGCATCTTTAAAGGCACAATAAGAAGAATTTGTCAATTTTAGTTTGTAAACACAATAGTTGATAGATTATTTTTCGTATGAATCAATAATTTTTTTTTATAAAATCCTAGTCATTGTACATTTTACATTTTGGAACTGGAAAGAGAATAGACATACATGGTGAAACAATTAAAACAAACAAACTTGATTCTTGTATTGCTTAGATGTACCATCATTTGTTAAAAATGTTCTTAAAGTGCTTAAAGGTTTACTTGTGATTAGAAAGATAATGTAAAAAGCATTTTGTACAATTTTAACTAAATACACACAAGGTGCAATCTATATGTATATTCAGTATGTTCTGTACTTAGGTGTGTGTATGTGTGTGTGTGTGTGTGTGTGTGTGTGTGTGTGTGTGTGTGTGTGTGTGTGTGTGCGTGTGTGTGTGACTGTGTGACTGTGTGTGTGTGTGTGTGTGTGTGTGACGAGCAATACCCTGCTGAAGCCTAGTATCATCGGTCCTGTCACTATATATTGGACTTATACATTCAAACAATAGGACAGTCCATGGCTTTGCTCTGAATTACAATGGGGTATTTTGCCTCCACTGAGCCTCTGTACAGCAGAAAATAAATCATGTACTTGGAATGAACACATCACAGACTTGGCACCATATTTCATGTACAGGCCAGACAAGTTCTTGATGGCCACTACGTTCAGCAAAAGCCTGAATACCCCTGTTGCATTTCTCAGTAAATGTCCAAAATAAGGCACTTAAAGTGGAAAATGGAGCAATCATGCCAGCAGCAGCAGCAGCTGAGATGGATTGATTCTTGCTGAACAGCCTTGTCCCAGTGTCTCCTAAAGGGAACCAGAGGAAGAAAAGTTCAGGAAGGCATGGCAAGTTTAAAAATAGAATATTTCAATACAAGGTAATTCACAGTGCTTTACAAATAACATTAAAAGCATTGGTATGCAACAGAAATGCATTATAAAATGACATTCATATACATTTAAAAACAGTCATTAAAAAGCCAAGAGAATAAAAAGGTTACAGTGCAGTATAAGATATTAATGATTATTTGATTTATCAGCATGGAAAGTTTATTATATATAGCATATTATTTCAAACTCGGGTAGGAAGAATAAAAGAGTGAAACATTTAGAAAAAAGACAAAATAAAAATCTAGTGCAAATCATAGAACAGAGTGCAATTTCTGTTTGTTCAATTTGTTTTCCATTATCACAGACTAAGGTCATTGACTTTATGCATATATGTTATCACATGTAATTTGTTGGAACAGATTATAAGTACTTAAGAGTGCATTTTAACATGGAGGGCCAAAGAGGCACTCAAACACATAACCCTGTAACATCAACATTTTCCATTTAAATCTGCAGCTGTTAAGGTAAGAAAGAAAATGGATGCAAGCGGCGATTCAATAGGCAAATTAAAAGAGCATCAAGCAGAGTAGATTGCATTCAGGAACAATGAGAACCTCTTCACCGAGTGCACACTTTAACATGGTGATAGGAGAAAGCTCTGCAGAGATATGGCCCACTTCCTGCTTTTGTCTTTGCTGTGAGCTTCTTGTACAGTTGCATTAAATAAGTGTTCCTGACAGCATTGCCGGAAAGTCCAAAGCACTTGTTTTCTATTATCGCAAACCTATCCAGCTGTCTCACATCATGACTCACAAGCATATTAACTTTTAAATAACGCCTTCACAACAGCAATAATTCAGGGTATTAGCCATATCTCAAAAATATCAAAACGTTCGTGCTCAACGCTCCTCTATGGCTGATCCTGTTAAGTATTTTATATTACATTACGGATCACTAGCAATGTATAGGCTGTGAAAGCTCTGATGTGCTTGTTAATATAACCAGTAGCTAAATCAGGTTGCTAAATAGGAAAATCATCCAAAATATGCTTTTTATTCATATAGTGACCACTGGCTTGTCTTGTTATGAGAAGAAGCTAAAATGTGTTTATTTGACCAACTCACAATGCTAGTAAAATGTAATAAGAAAAAGAAAGAAGCGTTAAATTGATACATAAAGTAGTTGATTAAAAAATGCTGAAAAATGTGACTCGACTGTACAATGTAACGAAAGAAACCCAGGTAATCTGGTAATATGCTAGGTCTATCACAAGGAAAAAGCAGAAATCCCTTTTGAACAAACTTCCTTTTTGAATTAATATTTTATTATGTGGCCAAGAATAACTGTCTTTGGTATTTCAATGTTCCCCTTGCCCATATTGCTCACCTGCGTCTGGCTAAGCCTCGCTGTTGTGCTGACTCAGGCGCTTCTTAGACTTCAGTTCTTTCAGCCAGGCGGGTGAGGAGACAGGCCTGAATGACACAGAACCACAGGTCAGAGGTCATGATTAAGACACATACCAAATCATCATATAAAGGATTTTTTAAAGGTAGGGTAGGTAAGTTTGAGAAACCGGCTCGAGATACACTTTTTGTTATATTCCATGGAATGCTCTTAACATCCCGATAGCAATGAATATCTTAAGCGCTTTGACAACAAATCCATAAAAAAATGTCATCTGTGGAAGCCGTAGTACTGTAAAAAGTACGACCAATCATTTTAGCTGGCCCGGCTAAAATAACTGGATGGCCTACCTGCCTGTCAGCCTTCCATCTGTGCACAAACTTATCTCATGCCCTCATTGGTCATGTGCGCGTTCGTGTGTGTTGGAGGAGGGGCTCTGTAAGGAAGTGGCAGATTTTCTCCGGTTGTGTATTTTCAAATTCTAGCGATCTCGAGCCGGTTTCTCAAACTTACCTACCCTACCTTTAAGTTTCTGTGCTGTCATGATCTGTTCTCACCCTCCTCCCCCACCACCTATGGGTGGCAGGACTCGGGCCGCCCCGGCGAGACGAGCGGCCGGGCGAGGAGAGCGAGCGGCCGGGCGAGGAGAGCGAGCGGCCGGGCGAGGAGAGCGAGCGGGTGGGCGAGGAGAGCGGGAGGGTTTTGAGGGAGATGGAGCCGCTTCCTCATTTCGACTTTCCTTCTCTTCTCTTCCCTTGTTTTCTTCCTTTTCCTCTCCTCCTCCGGTTCCTCCTCCACCTGTTCTCCTTTTCAGCTGAGCCTTGAGGGGACATTTCAATTCAAGTCAATTTAAATGCCACCCATTTGTATCATGTTATTTATTGTAAATGTAAATTGTAAAATTATTCTCAAACTCTGATAGTGCTTACAATAAGGGATGCCGGGTTCAAACCAGTGAACATGGGGACTCTCTGAGAGGGGGGAGGAGAACGAGCTATCTTCGGTTTAGGCTGCTCCTCCTCAGAGTCTGAATCCCTTTGCTTAGACGATGCCTTCTTTTCATCTAAAATCATCAATATAACGTTCAGTCATGCAGTACATGAACATTTCCAGACTGCTTTATTGAGAAATTGCTTGATTAGTTATAAAAAACTGTAACTTAGAGCTCCAGCCCTCAATGTACTGAAGATCTTCCAACATTATGGATGCTGTAATAACCTGTGGTGTCCTGGGCCCTCCAGTCCTGACTTTCCTTTGGAGAGAAACCTCCACGCATCGAGCGTGGCGGACGCGACCGACTTCGCCGCTTACCCAGATCTGCCTTTGATCTCTGAGCGCTGGTGTCGAGGAGGGGAGTGGAGCTCTGTGCACAAAAACACACACATCATCTAGCACACACTGAATGCAACACACTGTGATTGCAAATGGACTATCACACTACAGCAAAGCAGATGCAAGAGAGTGGTTTTTTTCCAGTCAGGTATGCAAAGTTACACCCAAACTACATGTTAATGTTTGTAGAGGATGACGCAGACATCAGCTGTGCCCTTTCACAAAGGAGGAATAGAAAACAAATAGTCACCAACCTCAGGGAATGGAGCCTGCTCCGGCTCTCTGGAGAAGTCAGTGGTATCAGGGTCTTCAGAGGGTTCTTCAGGAACCTCGCCAGGGACGGGCTCTGGGCTGAAGAGAGAGGACATTTTAAATCATGTGTGATTTGAATGAGTAGGAAAAGGAAACTGTTTCAGTGAGTTTCAGTGTTGAGCTCTAGCCACAAGGGGGCACAGGGAGCTTAAGTCTTGGAAACACTTGAAAGTCCTTGTTATCATATTTTAGTGTGCAGTTACTGTTGGTTATGTCAAATAATTGATGTTTGAAGTTGCCAAATGCACATTTTCCTGAATATTTAAGCACACAAAGCTGACTGAAATGTGTCCAGTTTCACAAAGGGATGTTGTAATGCAGCTTGATCCTTGAAAACTCTCATGTCAGATGGCCATAGCGCTTTTATTTTCAGATGTGTTGCAGTTTGAATCAAATCACCTCGATGTGAAGCCACACCTTCAGCACAAGACATGACACTTAAACCTGTCCAGTCCTGTCTCTCTCCATCAGGGTAGATGGAAATATACACAGTCCGCAGTTTAGACTCAGTATGTGTTTTGTGCAACCTCTCTCCTACCTGTCAATGTCAGATGTCTGCTCGCAGGCCTCATTCTGCTGCTCTGGCTCACTGTCTATCAAAGCATCAGTGTCTTCCCCCGTTGGGCTATAACTGTTAACAGGTGCCTGAAAGACAAAAAGACAGACCAAATGAACAAAAATACATATCATACAACAGAACCGGAGAAAACATAAAGGAAGTATTGGGCTATGTAGGAAAGATATTTGGCTAAAGACGAAACCAGCAACCCTTCTGCTCTCTCTGTTGTATATCACACATAATCCAAATGATGTGAATGTGCTTTTATTCTGTAATCCTGCATATTAGAACGTCACATTGTGTATATGAGGGGTGAACAGGACCGTGTGCTGAGCCAAGATCAGTAACTACAGAGGGAGAGAGGGCCGAGGACCAGCCGAGCATGCATCTTTTAATGAGCCGGTCACAGAGGCTGGGCTGTCCTCAATAAACACCATGAGCACTGGCATACACACCTATATGCCTACACACAGACACACCAAACACACTCATGCTGCTGCTGTCACGCCCACATGATGGAATGCATGGGTGCGCACACACACACACACACACACACACACAAACGTTCAGACAAAAGCTACTGCAGTGCACTTCCTCGCAAACATTCCTTTAAGCTCACATTTTGTCAAGGGGCACATCCCAGTGTTGCGTTGTCTGATATTGTCACCTGGATACAAAACAACACCCCGGTAAACATCCCCGACATTTCGTCTCCTCCATAAGTCTGTTTATTACTCACACAGCAGCAGCTGCAGCTTCATTTGCACAATGCCTGTTATCTGGCAACATCATAGCATGAATGAATAGGCTTCTAGTGATTTTCCTATAACCACAGACTGTGTTTAGGTGCAGAGGAAAACAAGGTCCGTTCTCACTGAGACAAACAGGCTACAGTTAGGGGATTCCACCGACTTGAATTTATCCTGAATCTCCCCCATCTTTATTGTGGAAGAAGCCACAGCAGTTCACTACGTTTTTTGCTTTTATTATTTATTTGCAGCAAAACATGTGACTCTAAAAAATGTATCCTGGATACTCTTCCAAAAAGGTTCTTATGAGTTCATTAATGAGGACATGTTATGCTCATTTACAGGTTTATATTTGTATTTTGTGCCTCTACTGTGACATGTTTAATGCTCTAATGTTCAAAAAGGTCTTTATTTTTCTCATACTGCCTGTGCTGCAAGCACCTCTTTTCACCCTCTGTCTGAAACCAGAGCCCAGTCTGCTCTGATTGGTTAGCTGGCTCTGTTGTGATTGGTCAACTGCTTAAAGATGTCTCGCCCTTAGCCTGTCAAGTACAATGTGTTGGAGTGCTAGCTGTAGTGAATATGTTAGCAAAGTAAGCAAATAGGTGCATATTTGTACATAGCAGTTATAAAGCAACTTTAAACTTAATTTGAAATAATGTTTTTAGCCACCCAACAAATATAAATCCGTTTTTTACTCTTTAAGCTATATCTTTAGCTTCCATAAACTCCTTGGGAAATTAGCAGCTAAGTGCTGTACTATGTTCACCAGCTTGTTGAAAAAAGATCAGAAACGATCTATGAATGTACACGTGTACAGCCGATTCAGAAGTACATACACACTATGGAGACTCCATTTAGTTTTGTAACAACACAACAACAGCCTTTAAGTACAGCCATAAGAACCAGATGCTTTACAAACTTCACCACAGAAGAATCTCTCAACTGCAATAAACCTATGTATGAGTGTGTGCCAGGACAGTATGCTTGGGTGGGCGGAGGATGTGCAAGTCAAGACAGAGTGGGCTTTATTATAGTTTACATCCAAAACATTTTTGTCAAGACCAGAGGAATGTGTGAAGCAGCTTGTGTTTGGTGCAGGGGAGAGGATAACATCTAAAGATGGCGCACGCACAACTGTGACTGACAACAACAAATCTACTCTTATAATGGAAAGTGATGGATCATCAAAATGTAAAGTGGATACAGCCTGCAGCTTATTTTCACCTTTTGGTCTCTGTGGTATAAACATATAAACACACACACACACACACACACACACACACACACACACACACACACACACACACACACACACACACACACACACACACACACACACACACACACACACACACACACACACACACACACACACACACACACACACACACCACACACACACACACACACACACACACACACACACACACACACACACACACACACACACACACACACACACACACACACACACACACACACAGGCTGCCACAGTAAACACTGCAAAGCTACCAGAATAGTTCTCAGCCTGTACAGTATGTCTCAAAAGAACTAGCTCCTGTATTGCAGCCGGCACCCAAAGATACATTTGTCTTTCATTTCCAAAGCAGAGCACGATATCAACAACAACAAACGCTCTTTTTATCGTTCTTTTGCTAAATCTTGATCTTGATAACTCAACAATAGTATACCGTCATATTTAGATAAACTGTACTGCAGTGTAGTGTTCTTTTTTCCAAACATCAGAGCTGAGTGGATTATATTACAAGGAAAAAACATAATAAAACTAATATTACAATTAATAGTTATAATTCAGAGGAGAAAAAACAAATGTATTCGTCGTTGCTATAAAATTCATTATAATAATGATTAATTACTTTGAGTATTATTGTTAAGAAACTAAGTCAACATTTTTCAATATTAAAAAATAACTAATTGATTTATCCAGAAAGTTCTCCTTAGATTGACGCACAATGAAAATCATTGTTAGTTACAGCACTATTGTGATCCAATGTAATGGTTCATTTAATTGAATGGACTCTAATGTAATGATATATAACTGCACCAGCCATGAGTAAATGTGAGCAGCTTGAATACAAATGTAAACATAAACCTTGTCTAAGTGTGTCACACTTTGTTGTAGTCATCTGCTTTATCTCTGACACACACCACAGACACAGAGGGATAGGGCGTGCATGTACGCTGATAAAACACTGCATTTGGACAACTTTATCAGATAGCTGCTTCCTTCCTGAAGCTTCTGCTCTCCCTCTCTACATTTGCATGGTTATCTGTTGACACATGGGCAGGGAGATATAACCCTGGAGCATATTGTAAAAAGCACCCATAACCATGGCTCTTAATTTGATTAACCCAGGCCCTAAAAGCTGCTGATTCTTGTACTTAATGTCAGTTGAAACCTTTAAAAGGCAATTATTTAAAAATTAGCTTGTTATTATTCAGTCCTATTCATTAGACCTGGATATATATTTATAAGCTGTTATTTCCTGCTCCATCATCTCTTTCTTACAGAGCAGGTTTCAGGGACTCTCCTCTGAAGGGTCTGCCGACTTCTGTCAGAAAAGCGACGCAGGGATCTCCTGCTACGTCTGGCGAAGCTGCGAAGTGGCGTCATAGCTCTTTGAAACCTTCCTTCGCCATCGCCACCTTGCTCTTCTTCCACCTCGTCCACTTTATCCTCCTCTTCCTTCTTCTGCGTGTCCTCTGCAGGGCCCCACACCAGCTCCAGAGCCCCTTGCAAGGAGCGCCGCACGCTGCCCACCCATCCCGTCACCTGGAGCTGGGCGGCCGATATCTTCCCTCCAAAGTACTGCATGGTCCGGAAAGCTCACGCAGTCACTAGGGTCACCATGGGAACTGGGTCATCAGAGAAAACTGAGCTTTGTTAGAGATGAAGGGAATGTGCGGAGTCAGAAAGCCGCGTCTCTCGTCTGTTTCTCAGTCATTATTTTCAGCAAGTAAAAGGTAAAGAGGGCACAAATTGTTCTGATGTCATACAAAACGAGGTATAGTCCATCTTTCATTTGATGCGTCCTCTCTCTCCATAATGTTATGGTTCAGGCCAGACAAACTCCCTGGAACAGTCAATTATTTTCTGTCAGTGAAGAAGTCAATAGTCTGAGAGGCCATGTGTTTGCACTGTGAAACAACTCTTCCACTGCAGCACTCACTGCGATTGATGTGGCATCCTAAACACAAGCGTCCCGGAGAAAGACTTTCCAATCATCACATAATAATCCTTATAAAAAAGACGCTGACAAAACTCTCTATGACAAATGTCCCTCTGGAAGTAAAACAATGATGACTATTGTAGATTACCTCATTTCATGTGCACCCTCTTTCTCTGCCACAGTCAAGCTTGTCTACCTACGTCCCATTTCTCATCACAACTCCATTTTCCATTGAGGAAAAAAAAAAAGGAAAAGCAGCGTGGGAAATATCTGCCACATCCAAAGCCAGGTACAGAAAGTCAGATCACCCCTTCCTCTCCTCCATACCTGAGCAGTTCCACGTTCAAAAACATCAAAACAAAGTGGAGGTCTGTGCTCGGATGTGGAAAATCCCGAGAGGAAGGAAGGAAGGTGCGGCAGGCTGAGTGAAGGTGCTTTCTGCACCTCCCTCCTCTCTCTCCCCCGTAGGTAAATGATGCAGGTAACTGAATAAACCAGGTCTTTGTGAGAGGAAAGGCCCGAGGGAACAGCAGGAAGCAGGAAGACTTTTTCACAAGTTGAGAGAAAGTTTGGAGCTAGATGACTGTGGGCATGTGAACTTCTGGTCCGGGGTTTAGCCCATCCTCCTTTGAGTGTGTGTGTGTGTGTGTGCGTGCGTGCGTGTGTGTGTGTGTAGAGTGTGAAGGGCTCTCTAAAACTGGGGTGGAGAGATTGAGTAGAGAGACAGAGAAAGAGGGGCACCATGTATGGTCATTCTGACACGCTGCCCTGTTGACCAGATCCAAATGAGGACATGATGACCACACAGCACCTCGAATCATACCACTATAACATCTGTCTGTGTGTCTGTCTGTCTGTCTGTCTATCTGTCTGTCTGTCTGTCTGTCTGTCTGTGTGTGTGTGTGTGTGTGTGTGTGTGTGTGTGTCTGTGTGTCCGTCTGTCTGTCTTTGAGCCTGAATGAGGCAGCACGGTTGGCTGCACAGCTTGTGTTTGCCCAGTAAACATTTTCCTCATTCTGTCCTGTCCAGCTTTTCTCAGCCACACAAATAGCTGTAGAGGGTTCTTGCAGCAGAAATATTTCATTTATTTGACATAAACTTGACTGTTTCTGTTCTTTTGTCATATTATAGCAGTGAAAGGTGCTCTTCTACATGAGATGAACTTGTTGTGGTGCAGACTCAGGAAGTGCAATTTTAAAGAGCAGCAGCGCCACTCGGTGGTGAGAAACCGTCTGTACTCTCATGACAAACACAGCTTCAATAATACCAAAGGCCTAACTGAAGATAAGTGGTTATGTACAATGCCGCTCTACAGGAGCTTACCTGTTTAAAGAGTTGGTTTGTTTGCTGAAGCATTGACGTAGCAAACAGAAATGCAATATCACAAAGACGCGCACACACACACGTACACACACAGAGTTCAGAGCTCCACAGTTCAGTGTTTTCATTACATTACCTCTGGGTGAAAATGTTGCATGTCCAAACAGGTGGTGCACAGTTCTGTCTAAACTGGCACGGCCCTGTCCGCTGTTTATACTCTCTGATGTTCTCCGATAACGCTCACCTTGAATTTTTGCTTCCTTGTTTTTTTTAGAGTAAAGATAAACTTTCCTTTCTTTTTCAGATTTGTAATCTTTTGCAAGATGTTTCTCATTTAGTTACATAATGTGCTAGACCTTGGACTTTAAATTGCTTTAGTGTGTGTTGTTAGGCCGTCATTTTTACTTCAGTCTGTTACTTCATTAAATACAGGCAGGCTGACGCTGCTAAGGTTACTAAAATGTTCCAGTTGCAACATCAGCAGACTATTTAGCTTCCAACAGATTTAGGACTACTTCTTTTAGGCAGTGCAGCGATGACGTTTAATGAGGGTCCACCCAGAAGTGAGCTCAGACATGGTCTGTTGACTGCAGCTGTACTGCAAATACAATGGGACTCTGATTTAACTGAAGAAAAAAAGTTGTTACCAGCAGCCTAAGCATATTTATCATATCATAAGCATAGCAGCATTAATACAATGTGTATACCTGTCTTCAGTCACCAACAGTCAAAGGTCAGGGTAAACTATAGTTATACGCCTTAAAATAAATACCCTCAAATTGGACACATGCTAAAAATGAATGCCTGAACTATAATAATTGAAGCGTGATGAAATTGATGTTACAAGTCAAGTAGACTGGAGTCCTCATGACAATAGGTTAGGATTGTTATCATGGTTAAAATGGACCTATTATGCTATATTGGAAAAATATATTGTAGGGCCATACCTATACAAAACATGTCTGTGAAGTTTTTTTTGCTTAAAATACCAAACAGATCACCCATTGTAGCCATGCCTCATACTGCTCATACCCCTCTTTTGCAGCCCTGTTAGAGAAACACGGATTTTGGGTCCTTAGCTTGAAAAAAAAAAGAAAAAAGAGGAGGCGGAGCTAATGCCTGATCAGAATTATACCGGAGATAAAGTTAAATTCTGCTGTGATAAAACGCCATCCTGTTCTAAACCACATCAAGGATTATTTCTGAAACAGTATGGAGCTCAAATGCTTTTTCTCTTGCGGGTTTATCACAAGGTGAGTTCCTTTTTTTATGTCCTGCTTTTTAAACACATGTGCTCTACAGCAGTGGTTCTCAACTGGTGGGTCGCGACCCAAAAGTGGGTCGCGGACCCGTTTCAAGTGGGTCGCGGATGTGTGAGTGAAGAAAAAAAAGTTGAAAAAAAAAATTGGAATATTTTTTTTTTTTTGGGAAAAAATGCAAACTTTTATTTTGAAGGACCGATTTTCTAATGCTGTGCATGCAGTAGGCGTTGGACTGGAAGTACCGGAGACCATAAATGTTTTTGAAAACTTCTGTCACGTAGTGATCATCTTCTCAATAAAACATCTCTGCTGATGTTTTTTCGAGTCTTCTGGCCAATCAGAATCAAGATTGTTGCCGGAAGTCCCCACGGAGAATAACTGCGGTAGAACTATTCTTTATACATCCATGGGTACAACTTCAGATAAAAATGAACACATAATGAAATATGACCCCCGGTTTGATGATTGACAGCTCACAGAACCCTTACCCACAATTTAAAGTAAGTCACACAGACTATCTCCTCTTTGCTCTTCTCTCAGCAAGCTGTCAGAACTAAGTGAAAAACAAACAATGGCATAAAATATTATTAATATGTCGGGTAGTAATAGATTTATTTATTTTCTTCTCAGAGTGTACCAGAATGCGTAGTTTATGTTAGTATTTCTAAAAATCTCCTGGGGGAGATCCCCCCAGACCCCCCTGCTGGGGTTGGGTTTTCAGCATGTGTGCCTTTTTATATAGTTCAGCTTTGATTCCATCATCTCATTAAACCTTGTTTAAAAGCATACTTTAGTTCTGTGAAGGGATATATGTACTGTACTTCACTTTTAATATTGTATTCTGAAAAGCGTATATTACAGCACGATTTTTTGTTGAATAGATTTGAGTGCTTCAAAATGTTGGGTCGCGATGTATTGACCAAGTAAAAAGTGGGTCCCGAGGCCTAACCAGTTGAGAACCACTGCTCTACAGTACAGGTTAGCTCTGAGTGTTAGCGAGGCTTGCTAATGTAAACAAAGACGAGATTACATCCAAAACACGTCAGGCATTGTTTCAGATAGCAACTTTCTGTGGGTCCACCATCCGAAATTACGTAATATCGGCAGCAAATCTGTATCCGCTCGTTGTACCCCCATTTTTAAAAGATTTGGGTACGGAGGAAAAGAGAAAGGGTTTTATTTTCTGGCGCTGCGGGAGTTCCCCGACACACCGGGGACACATATTTATGTATAAAAGACATACAAAAGTGCATTTTGCATGATAGGTCCCCTTTAAATATTTAATTTAAAAGATCCGATCTGTTCCTTTTTGGTTACTAGTTATTGGTTCATTGGCGTGGGTTCACATTGTTGACCTTTTCACTTTTACAGCTGAATTAGGAGGGTTAGTTAGACTTCGATATTCTCTGTTGACCAGCAGGTCCTGCGTTAGTCATTCAGTTACAGATATTAAACATTTTTCATTAAATGAACGACATATAAAGCAGCTGGTTTTAAGTATTGAGTTGTTGAACTTGTCACGGTAAAAAGATAGTAGTTGCTAAATGTAAACACCCAACAAATCAAAGGACTTCCTCACACTGGTGCGGCTCACAGATGTTTTACAATTACCTACAAGAGATGATAAAGGGACAGATATTAAACTCTGATATGACAACTGTATATTGTCTTGTGGTATACATTGTCATAAGACAATTATTCTGACACTCAATTTAGCCTAAGCTTTAATAATTGAGCTTTTTACCAAAACAGCTTTTCAATCATAATCCTTTAGCAGATGTGTGTGATTTGGCTCTACATGTATTGTATTCAATATTGATTTGATAACTCAATTTATTGTGTTAATTGCAGCTCATTAGTTCATATTCAAGTTGAAACATATACTGATGGGAATGGCTGGCTTACTGCATGACAACACCAAAAGCAAATGTAAACCATAAAAGGTGATTCGCTCTCAGAGGTGCAAACTGCTGAGCTGGCTCTGCAGTTCACTGTGAAACCACAAACAAACATTAGGGGATACTTCAATCAGCAACGACTCACCCATTGCTGCTGGAAATAACTCATCCAAGATGCCCAGGAGAAATAATCCATCCCTCCTTCTTATGATCATGCAATATTTATCTTTAAAACTGCCTTTCTCTTTGAAATCAATGTTATCTTTACACACAAATGGCAACAAAATGAAAGCAGCAGACGGTTGCGAAACATGCAGAGGAGAACAAAACCTCACTTCCTGTCTGATTTCATACTGTCGCGACCACACAGTTCACAGTTTGATGCACTGACAGAAAGTCATTTTTTCCACATCTCATCTCAAGGGGGAAGTCATTTGGTTTCATGAATTGAGAATCATACACCTTCAAAGCTATGATTATTTGTATCAAGTCAAGACTTATCTTTATCAAACACTTTAAGTATTTGTATTATTGTAAGAAATATGGTATCACTATGAGTAAAGACCGATACTACTACTGACACATGGGAGTGTATTTAGAGTTCAGGCCATGCTGGTTTCATCACTCATCACTCATCTCTCTCTCACACACACACACACACACACACACACACACACACACACACACACACACACACACACACACACACACACACACACACACACACACACACACACACACACACACACACACACACACACACACACACACACACCACACACACCACACACACACACACACACACACACACACACACACACACACACACACACACACACACACACACACACACACACACACACGTTCTTGAGCTGTGACTGAGTCAGGGTGAAGCGAGTATAACAAGATGCTTGTACCCGTGCAACAGGAATACCAATGTGTTGGTGCAGGTGAGGTGTGTGTGGTTGCCAGGGTGATTTGATGCACACATTAACGTGTTCTCTCCTGTCTCTGTGCTTGAACCTCACCCTTTGTGAATCATTACACAATGTTGCCTTTCATGTACCAATGATGGTGTTCACAACTACTCCCTGAATCAGGAGCAGGTTTGAATTAAGTTGCATTCTAACAGAAAGTCTGTATTTACCTTTAGCTTGTCGTCTTTTTCCTCCTCCTCTTCTTCCTCCGCCACCTCCATGGAGATAAGCTCTTCCTCTTCTGGGCTCTGCTCCTCTTCCTCTTTCTCCTGACTTTCCGGGGCTATTGTAGGCTCGGGGAGGATTGTTCTTTCCTCCTGCTCACGCACTCTGTTTTCCACAGGACTGACTTCCAGGGGCGCCAACCAATCAACAGCTTCCTGTCTGTTCCCAGAGACGTCTGCCCAAGTCTTCGAGGGCGGTCTGGTGTCTGCTTTCGGCTTCGAGCCCCATCTCTTGGGTTTGACGGAGAAGTCGTCATAAACCACGTGCATGTCAGGCGGCCTGACGGAGAAGTCATCGTAGACAACCTCCGCCTCCCTCTTTGTGGGGGAAAGCAGCGACTTCTGAGGCACATCTTCAGAGTCAAAGTTGATTAAATTTGTCTCTGCTCTGTCTGCCACACTCTCTCTTTCTTGCCTTTTTCTCTCTTCCTCCATTTTGAGCTTTTCTCCCCGTTCTTGTGCTCGCTTTCTCTCGTATTCCTCTCGCAGGTTTCTCTCCAGCTCCACCGCTCTTTCTTTCTCCATCTGCCCCTTTCTTTCGTCTTCCATTCTCTCCTCCTCTCTCTGTCTTTCCAGCTTCATCTGCCTCATTCTCTCCATCTCTTCTTCCTTTTCTTGCAGCTCCTTCAGCCTAATGTGCCTCTCCCTTTCTCTCTCTTCTTCCTTTCTTCGGTTTTCTTCCAGTTCTTGTGCATGCTTTATCTCAAATTCCTCTCGCATTTGTTTCTCCAGCTCCTCAAATGGGTCTTTCTCACTTTGTCTCTTCCTTTCCTCTTCCCTTATCTCCTCCTCTCTCTGTCTTTTCCTTTCCTCTTCCCTTCTCTCCTCCTCTATCTGTCTCTTCCTTTCCTCTTCCCTTCTCTCCTCCTCTATCTGTCTCTTCCTTTCCTCTGCCCTTATCTCCTCCTCTCGCTGTCTTTTCCTTTCCTCTTCCCTTCTCTCCTCCTCTATCTGTCTTTTCCTTTCCTCTTCCCTTCTCTCCTCCTCTATCTGTCTCTTCCTTTCCTCTTCCCTTATCTCCTCCTCTCTCTGTCTCTTCCTTTCCTCTTCCCTTATCTCCTCCTCTCTCTGTCTTTTCCTTTCCTCTTCTCCTCTCTCCTCTCTCTGTCTCTTCCTTTCCTCTTCCCTTATCTCCTCCTCTCTCTGTCTTTTCCTTTCCTCTTCCCTTATCTCCTCCTCTCGCTGTCTTTTCCTTTCCTCTTCCCTTATCTCCTCCTCTCTCTGTCTTTTGCTTTCCTCTTCCCTTATCTCCTCCTCTCTCTGTCTTTTCCTTTCCTCTTCCCTTCTCTCCTCCTCTCTCTGCCTCTTCCTTTCCTCTTCCCTTCTCTCCTCCTCTCTCTGCCTCTTCCTTTCCTCTTCCCTTATCTCCTCCTCTCTCTGTCTTTTCCTTTCCTCTTCCCTTATCTCCTCCTCTCTCTGTCTCTTCCTTTCCTCTTCCCTTATCTCCTCCTCTCTCTGCCTCTTCCTTTCCTCTTCCCTTCTCTCCTCCTCTCTCTGCCTCTCTAGCTGAATTTGCCTCATTCTCTCCATCTCCATCTCTCTCTCCATCTCTTTCTCTCTCTCCATCTCTTTCTCTCTCTCCATCTCTTTCTCTCTCTCCATCTCTTTCTCGTCTCCCCCACTCAGCCTCTCTGCCTGGCTCACCCAGGCTTTCTCCCACTCCTCCTCTCTTTGCAGCTTCTTGTTCCCTTCCTTCTCTCTCACTTTTCGCTGGACGTTGTATTCTTCTTTCCCGTTAACCAGTCTCTCGTCCACTCCCTCTTTCCTCTCCTCCTGATCTCGTCTCAGTCTCTCTTCTTTCTGTTTCACCCTCTCTCTTTCCTCTTCTCTCTGTTTTTGCAACTCCAGCTCTTTCTCTCCTTCCCTCTGTCCTTCTTCTTGTATCCTCTCCGTCTGCTTCACCCACTCTTGTTCCCACTCCACCTCTCTTTGTTTCTTCTTATTAATAACTTCTCTCTTGTTCCCCTCTTCCTGATCTTGTTGAAGTCTCTGCTCTTTCTGTTTGGCCCTCTCTCTTTCCTCTTCTCTCTGCCTCTGCCACATCAACTCCTTCTGTCTTTCCCGCTCCATCTCCTCTCCTTTCCACCTTCCTCTCTCCCTCTCCTCCTCTTCCCTCGGCCTCGCCTTCTCTTCCTCTTCTTCCATCTTGACTCTCGGCTGCTCGTGTTCATCTGCCCTTCGTCTTTTTTCAAATTCCAAATGTTTCAGACGTTCTTCTTCTTCCGCCTTATCGTCTTCCTTCTTCTGTAGACCTCCTACTCTTCTGTAGACAGGCGTAGGGACGTCCTCTTTAGCTTCATCCTCAGATTCTTCTTCTTCTTCTTCTTCTTCCTCCTCCTCTTCATCCTCGCTGGAAGACGGTGAGCCCAGGATCAATGGAGGCCCACCATCATCTCTCTCCACCACACCGAAGCGAACAGAGCGTCGTTTGACATTGTCCCTCTTGAGAGCGTGTTCAGGTGTCTCACTGGAGTCTCCCTCATCGGCGTTGAGTGTATATGAGCCTTGTTTGCGTAGTTTGACACTCCCTTCACTTGACGTGTCCTCCATATCCTCTTCTGGCGTTTCTTTGGAGCTTTCTGTTGAGCGGGCATCAGTAAGAGCGTCTTTGGATGTTTCCATCGGGGTCTCTGTGGGTGGTTTGGCGGGCGACACCTTTGATGGAAGATCCAATGTGTGACTGGACGAGGTTTCAGGAGCAGGGGGTTCAACAGGCGGCATTGTGGGTGTTTCCACTGTTGGAGCAGTTGCTGGCTCAAAGCTGTAAAAGAGATAACATTTGAAGTTGAATTACAGAAGAATTATCCACAGATAAATGGCAGGGGTCTTTCATTTCAAATTTAAAAAATGTCACATATTCTTGAATGCCTTACTCTTACTTTACAACCATCATGGCCTCTGGTAGACCACCACACATATAACAACAGACTATAACACATGTGTTGTGCAATATCACTAATGTGCAATTTATATATATATATATATATATATATTACTATTCAACTACTGTAACACAATGTACAATAACTGTGCATTGTATCATTATATTTTCACTACTGTTACCTGGCTGCTATCACAGCACTTCAACGTGCTACACTTATTATTATTTATTTATTTTTAAATACTGTTACTGTACTTATTGTTGTCCACCTGGATGGGTAATTTTGTAATTTGTGTAAATTCGATCTCTGATATTTTGTGCATGCCTCTTAATTAATATTTTGCCTCTTTGCTGTTTCTGTAAAAATGTACATTTCCCCTCTGTGGGACTAATAAAGGTATTCTAATTCGGAATTCTCTCATGACCGTATGCTAAATAATACACATTTACATCCAGCAGCCTGTTAGCTTAGCTTAGCGTTATGACTGGAATAAGCTAGTTGGCTCTGTCCAAAGTTAAAGAAATCTGCCCACTAGTTCCTCTACAGCTCAGTAATTAACATATCTCTTTTGTTTGTTGGATCAATGCAAAGAATGTCATGCAAAAAATGTAAATGTGAGTAACTTTGCCTTAGCCTGGTGCTGTCACTTCCTGGAGACTTTTCCCCACTGACAAGGTAACCAACAACAAGCTCCATTGACAGATATACCATACAGACATGAGAGTTGTATATCTCTCTCTTTTAAGGGTAGGTTTGATTCGACTACATTACAGGAACAAATATTCCACTTGCCTCTATTTGCCACTCATTTGTTTGTTTGATTTTTAAATAAACATGCTCTGTACTCATACCAGTAGGTGGTTGGAGATCTTAAATGTCATACTTTGAAGTGGCCTGGTTTGAACTCTTATCTAGTGTAATTTGAGGACATAAATCTGGCAACGTTATTCATTTACCACATTGCTACTGTTGTACCGAGAGAACAGTACAGTACAGTACATTAAGAAGTAAGTTATTATATATGGAGTAAAAGAAGACTGTGCTAGTAAAACTAAATTGTCTAAAAGTTCAAGACTTGTCTCATCTCTCCAATATTTTTGACAGAAACTGGGAGAAACAATGGCAGAGACTGAAAAAACCTTTCACTCTCCAAGGAAACTGAACAAAAGAAACGATACAGCCTGCTGTGTGACTTCATCATGAGGCATAAATAATGCTCAACATTGGTCTTAACGAAAACACCTGATCTGTTGCATGCATCTGATCACAACAGAAGAATCTGAAATGAAATGTAGAGCCACAAATTAATCTGTGCTATTGACCTTAGATAACACTATACTTGTTTGCACTTGGAGGAGAATGTTTTACTTTCACTCGTGTCTTAACACGTTACCAAACACAAATGAAAGAAGGCATGCTCACCTCTTGGAGCGAGATCTTGGAGCAACCTGAGGCTTCTTCTCAGTCTTTGGATCCTCGGGGGGTGTTTCCTTCGCCCAGATTTTCATTCTCTCCCTTACACCCTTCACACTTCCTGTACCGTTTATAATTTCCGGCTCTTCTCTCTTTGTCATGATCTCTGGCTTCGATGAGGAGTCAAACAGGAGGCTGATTCTGCGTTGTATGCTTCCTCCTCCGCTGTTTACCCCCAGCAGCGCTCCATCATCGTCCTCCTTGTTGGACGGCTCTGATGTCGGCTGGCTCGGCTCTGGGTCCGAAGGCTCTGGCTTGTCTGCATCATCTTTGGTGTCGGTTGTTGTGATGGTAACAGCTGGCTGGGGGGTCAGACATGGGCCACCTGACTCAAACTTGGAGGTGAGCTTCATGGACAGACGCTTCCTGCTGCCGCCCCATCCATACGCCGGATTGTCTGTAGAGGAAACGTCACTGCCTGATTCTTCAAGGTTTTGTACGACAGAAGTCTGCGATTCATATTCTTTCTTATTTTCCTCTTTCTGTACTGGTTTAGTTACAATTTCCGTGGATGCTTTGTGGTTTGCTTGGATGACATCGTCTTTCTGGATTGGCGGAGGCTTGGGTGTCACTTTGGGTGGAGCAGGATCAGGTTTTACCACGCTGGAATCAAGAGTATCCTCTCCACTTGCTATCCCTTCTTTGGTTGACTTTGGTGGACCTTTCGGTAAGACACTTACATCTGTCTTGGGTTTGGAAGCAGGGGTGGGGGTTTGTTGAGGGGGTTTCGGTGCGGGTGCTGTCACTGAAGGTTTGGGGAGACCTGCAGCTTCTGATTTTACCGTCTGCTGTGTGGTTTTCTTCGAGTTTGAAGTGACCGTCTTTGGGGCATGGATGGAGCGAATGGTGGTGTTCTTCTGCAGAGAGAAGGGCTTGGGAGTGAGTCGAGGTTTGGGGGCCAGAAATGGTTTGGGGTTAGAGGTGCCGTCAGTCTGGGAAACCTCAAAGGAGCTCTCCATAGCTGAGTCGCTGAAAGAAGGAAGAAGAGGTGTTTACATACGGCGACAAATTTACATTGAAAAAACACTGGCGGTGGTATAGAAAAACTGGATGAGACTGGTCTGTCGAGATTTTTGAAGGCAAATAACCTCTGCAGGGTCACAAAGAAATGCATCAATCACACTGAACAAACACCAGAAACAATGGAAAGTCTTCCTGCAGGAGCCTATTTACTTAGTTTTTCTGCTCAGTTTAGTTTTCAAATAATGACACAGAACTTGTTGGCATCTTTTTTACATATTGAAACCATTTAAATGGCTAGTTGCAGCCTTATGTAGAGCTGCCAGTCACTGTCACTTTTCTAGCATGGGGGATTTTATATTTATTTTGAGTGTGACCTCTGAGAGCTAGTCCTGATTGAGGTTGTGCAAAACGTGACTTAATGTCGATTTAAATGAGCAGAGGGAAGCCATACTGAGGGGGAGAAACTACAATATAAGTAATTCCCATTGTGTAGGACAAACTGTTTGTTAAACCACAACATGGACTATATTTGATTATTTCCTAAATTAAATGATTGATACTTGACATTTTAAAGGTTATGTTTTTTATATATCTTACTGAGTATTGTTGGATCTTTGATAACATCACACTTTTCCTCACTAAGGCTCACAAAGGCTGCAAAAAACACAATCCTTTTTCGGCAGGAACTTCCTTGTTTGTTCTGTCCCAGTGTCTCAAAGTCCAATTTGATGGCTTTAAATGTCTTGTTTTGTCAGTCAAAAACACCAAAAATGTATATATATTCATTATTATATATAATATTATAATATTTTATATTCAACAAATAACAGGCGTCACTACTCAAATCTGTTCAACATAAGTTGATAGTGTCATAAAAGTCAATTTAATTAATAGAATGACAAATATACATAGACAGAAATATATAAATACATCACACACACACACACACACACACACACACACACACACACACACACACACACACACACACACACACACACACACACACACACACACATCCATTCTTACATAGTTTCTTACATACATTCATAGTTTCTTACATACATACATACATACATACATACATACATACATACGTACATACATAGGTACATACATACATACATACGTCATACATACAGTACGTTATGTGATCTGACAGTGAGTGTGCTGTGTAATTTTTAAACCACACTTAATATGAAATAGAACTCCTAAACTGAGAATGAGAACAGGCAGGTGGGAGACATGTCAGCAATCGAGGCAGGCCTGATGAGTCATCGTCCACATCAACAATAGTCTGAAGAAATTACTAAAATCACAGTCTAGATCTCCAAGTGAACTGAAACCTCTGTCAGATAAACAATCTTAAAGTAAAGTACTGTCACAAGGACGAAATGAAGGACAAGCCTACACACCTGTGTACACATTTTAACAGTAATGTTCCCAGTGTATAACACTAAATACTACAGGCATTGTTGTGTTATCTGGTTTGACCTGTAATACTTATACAAACCGGTAACTCCACACCCCAGTTGAATACTGTGCAACTCTCAGTGTTTGTCAGTAAAAAGCTTTCTCTGTCACTCTCACACTATTAATCTACAGCTGGGTTTGATCAGCAGTCCGCCTTTGCACTGAGGTATTTTGCATGTTATATGTTTGTAATAAACTTGTTGCTCCATTGCTCAAACACACAGCAGCTCTGGGCGTGCGTGCATGATATTGTGCAATGGGTTTGGATTGGACTCTTAAAGCTGTGTCCTGTTTTTTCTGATTTCCTCCCTCTTTTTTGTTTTACTTTCAAGTAGAATTCCTTAGAAATAAACAGTGTCTGGCAGATAAAGCTGCAGTTGATGGATGGTTTCTGTTGCTTATTAAGGCCACATTCACAGTCAGGGGAAAATCTTCCTGCAGCAGCACTTAAGCTTGTGGGATTTGTGTTTCTTTATCTTTATTTGCCTTCAGTGCCTGCTGCCCTGCCAAGGCTAACAGACAGCACTCGGTCCCTTTCGTTTTCATGTCCACTGTGCTATTTACCTCTTTGAGTGATGCTGTGAGAAGCTTAAACACGTAGTTTGGGAAACGTCTGCTCCTCAGTGAAGCAAATATTACGATGCAATGACTTGTGGCGCACATTAAACTGCGAAATGTACGTTATATCGGTGCGTATGCTTCATTTCGGATGGTTAATAAGTTACTGATAAACGCGTCAACAGTGAACTCCCAGTCGTTGAACCAGCCGTCTGAAACTGGACAAAGAAAAGGAGAAAAGTAAATAAAACTAAGTTTGTTTTTACGCTCGGCTGTCAGTGTTGTGAATGACTCTTTTGTGAGAAAAAATGTATGCGGATACTTAAGACGTTACCCACCATGACAATGTTCTTTAAGAAGATAGTACAATATAGTAATAGAGCTTGTGCACCTGCTCTTAACACCAGCTTTTTGAAGTTTTAAGATATTTAAAAGACATTTCTTCAGCAGTATAATGTTGTTGTTTACCTTTTGTCTTCACGCAGTCATACAGGTGGGGGAAGGAAGGAAGCGGGAAGAAGTTACAAAAGAAAAATGTCCCTCAGTTTTCCGTGAGCGTTTCGCCTGCTGAGCTGTTGTTAGTGTTTTTTTCAAGTCATTCACACTAACGAGACGTCGGGCTGCTGCTACACCCAGCAGACACTCCCAGCGCCCGCCTCACTGACACGCTGCTGGGGAGGCAAGTTACACAGCGAGACACCACTGCACAGGAAGTGGCGTGTGTTTACTTCACAATAAAAGCGAGTTTGTCATAAACTTAAAGGAGCCTTATTATGCTAACTTCCAGATTCAGATTTGTACTTTGTGCCTCTACTGTGACATATTGACATACTCATACTGCCTGTGCTGCAGCACCTGTTTTCTTACACCCAATTGGTTATGGTTGTGGCTCAGTGTTTAGTGCGCTGATCTTCGGATCACGGGGGCACTGGTTCGAATCCCGCTGCAGTCAACATTCCGCTGTGTCCTTGGACAAGACACGTCACCCAAAATTGTTCCTGTGGGGATTGCCCACAGTATTGAATGTATGTAAGTCGCTTTGGATAAAAGCGTCTATCAAGTGAAATGTAATGTAATGTAATGTTGGCCGGCCCGCTCTGTTGTGATTGGTCAACCGCTTAGATATGTCCCGCCCCTTAGCCTATTGTACAATGAGTTGGAGCGCTAACCAACAGAAGCGGGAGTTGCACATATGATGTCGCTATGTAACAAAAGTAAACAAAGGAGTCCAATGGAGGCCTTTCGGGCAGGGGGAGAGAAACTCCCTCTGAAGGGAACTTTCGGATTTTAGCCTTTGCAGACCATTTACATGCACAAAAACCTAAATAACACACTACAGGAAAGGGGATATCCCAAAAAGCACGACAGGGCCTCTTTAAAATGACAAAGACCATTTGTATTATGGCAAATATATAAATACAGCGTCTATAGGCTAATTCACCAATGTGCTAGAAATTCACCTAACATACATAATGTTGAATTAAAATCAATGTCCACTTTACAGGGCAATCTGTTCATTCCTATAATGTGCACAAATTATTAAATAAAATCAGTGTGTGACTGATCAGGTAATATGAACAAAGACAATTATTAAATAAGAAATGTGTTTTCTGTATCAATTATGATTTAGTGATTTTAGATATTGACGCTGGTGTTTTTGTACATTTCAAAGAAGTGTTTATTACTGGGGGCTTGATTAAATTGCTTAGTATTTTTCAGTGTATACCTAAATAAATGGAACAGGCATTACATTTAAGAAATCTGGGAGGACTATGACTAAAATAGATTTTTATGGCAACCAATAATCACTTTGTAAAACAAGACATGTCTGTAATGCTTAGTTAGAGTGACTCACCATGATTTTAAATGTAGGTTGAATTTTTTATTTGGAGAGTTGTGGCTCTTTTATTTTTTAAGATCGGACCGGAAGTGCTCTGCAAATTCATTGTGGCTTGATGTTAGTAAACTGTTGAATAGACAGGATTAACAGGTTCTAACTGAGACAAGAAACTACTTTTCAAAATGTTAAAAGGAGTTGGATTAATGCAGCTCTCCATGCTCAATGGAGAGTGCTGGGGAGGCTTCCAGGGGCATTTTAACAGCAGGGAGTGCCCATTAGCACTCACCAACTACACCTTCATTTGCATAACACCTGGGCCTTTACAGTGTATCATTTGTGTTTCCTAGGTTTTATGGAAACTTCACAAGCAAGTGAAATAATCTCTGCCATGAAGCAAATTTGAGAAATAAAACCTGGATTTTTTTCACCTGAATGTGGATTGTGTTAAGGGTAAATGTGAGTGTTAGTTGGGTTGTCTAGAAGTGTCTTTCAAATCATTCAACATTACGATAAGATGGTATTTCTGTAGTACAGCGCTCCACCTCAACCAGCTAAAGTATTAAAATGCTGCTTACATGTTAGTGCATAAGTGGTAATAATGCACCAACATAATACGTAGTCAAGTTTAGTTTAAACATTGTTTACACTCTGAAATGAGTGTCATCTTCTTTGGTGTGAATGTTATATGCTTGGGTTAGCCTAGACCTGAAGACATTTTCTTTATCGGTTTAACTATTTGTTTGGAAATGTAGTTTATCTTGCTTTGAGCTCATGAATAGTTTTCTTCTATTTCATTTTATTTTAGGAAAGTCCAATGTGGCCAATAAATATATAAGGCCCTATGATGGTAAAAAGGCGGTCAGAATGAAAGGAGCATAATCAAGTATTGGCAGCTATGAACTTTTACAAGTTTAATGTAAAATAAATGTACAGATATGCAGTATACAAATCCTATGGGAGACATTGCATACACTCAAGGTTAGCTTTTTCTCTCATTCTTAAAAAATCCTTACTTTCACCATTGACTATTATTATTAATGAGTGCCATTAGTGCAGTAGTATTAGTGATAATGAATGAAAACACTCTTCAGTATATTCCTGTGTGTTCCTGAAGCGCGCCCCCTGGTGGACGTTCCACTGAATGACACCACATCCTCCTCTGGCTCACCGGACGAGTTGTCATGGCAACTGTACAGCATGTGCTTACAAAAACAAGAGCTTGACCGTTCACCAACACTTCTGTCGACACTCGACATCTAATGCTGGGAGTGGGACGCCATCTTATTCTTCCTATCGCATTTATCAAGAGACAAGAGCGGAGACACACTCGTTGAAACAGAAGGGGAAGCCGACGAAAAGGAGGCCACGATGAGCGGAGCAAAAGCCCGCAGCAGCGACGCGCCTGTTGCTGAAAACGTCCCCGGCGGAGGGCACGGCACTGCGGCTCCTCCGCGGGACCGCAAGCCTGGCGGAGGGGTTCTGAAGAGGCTGAAGTCCCGGCGCAGTCAGGTGGACAGCAGGCCCGTCACGGAGGAGGACCTGCGGACACAAAGTGGACATATCACCCCGGAGGATGTGTTGGGACTGCGGGGGGCTACGAGAGGTTTGAGTGTTCCTCTCTAATATCTCTTGTTGTGGGTTTAAGTGGACCTATAATGTTTAATTTGCTTCCTGTGCTGAACATAACGTAACGTTTTCTACTACAACCCACAGAATATATTAAATGCACACATTACGTAAAACTAGAGCCAATGACGTGTAGGTGAACAGGTTTATGGCTGTCGGGTATAATGGAGACACGACTAAAATATCCTGTTTTATATTTGATTTGTTATATGTTATATGTATCCGAGACATTACATACCTCACATCATTAAGAATTGTTAGACTGCATTAGACAATCTTTCAGTCATGGAAAAACCTGGTGTTCCTATTTTAAGCATCTCAATGCACACTGGGGTTTAATTATAGGAGGCGTTTGTATGGTGTCACTTTAATTGCAAGAAGGAATCAAACCTCTCAGAGAATAAATGTGACATCACAGCCAGGATTTGCAGTAAATCACCTGTGTCCTGAAAAACGATTAAAAAAAAAACAATGCCAGAAGATTCTGCCATATGACCTACATTTACAGCTGATAGGGCAAAATATGCAATTTGCAAGAAAATCACACTGGAGCCAAGGGGGAGTGTTTATGACATTTGAAGTCACAATCAGTGTTTTTAATCTCTCTGGTGGCACAACATGTGATATATTCTTGATGGTTTCACACATGCTTTTCCCCCTGTATATCTCTGTAATGCTAGCTACACAGTGATCATAAAAAAACATTGTGTTATCTCATCTTATTTTGTGGTTTGGTAGGATATGTATCCGAATGCAAATTGCATGTGTAAAAACAAAGTCAAGCTTAGTGTTTTGAATGTTATCTTTGCGCATGTCAAATCGGCCCTTTGTACACATGAGCTACAATGGCTTGTAAATCATTTCAGTGTTTTAAACTCCTGACATCTGTGTGTATTTCATTGTTGCAGGGTACCTCTGTAAACCCGAGGATAATATTTATAACGTCGACTTTGTACGCTTTAAGATCAGAGACCTGGAGACAGGCACAGTCCTGTTTGAGATTGCCAAACCCCCCCACACAGGTAATGTGCATCCGCCTCCTCCGTGTACTGTTTTATTTGAGAGTTTGCTCTTTAATGAAGCTGTTGTATCTGGTTTCTGAGAACTTTACAATGAAATCATTGACTCTTGTTCTTGTGATTATCTCAAAATGAATGCCTCCAAGTATGTTGACAGGTTCACAAACATCAGTGGTACATTTTATCCAAAATAATCCCTCAGTGTATTTATTTTAAATGTCTCTGTCGTATGATCTGGGTGTCAGAGGACGATGAGGAGCACAGAGAGGCAGACGCCAGCGCAGGCCGATTCGTACGGTACCAGTTCACTCCAGCCTTCCTGAGACTGAGGACCGTGGGAGCTACGTGAGTGACTCACCAACAACATACACCTAAGGAGAACACACTCACCTGTTCCATACACAAACAAAGGAAACAATTACAGCGTCGTCACTGGGCGCTAGAAATAATTGGACCCAGTGCAGACTGTAATACCATTATAATTACTCAGTGTAAAATCTCAGTCTCTCCTCTCTGCCTATCTCTCTATCAGGGTGGAATTCACAGTTGGAAACCGGCCTCTAAACAACTTCCGCATGATCGAGAGGCACTACTTCCGCGATCACCTGCTGAAGAGCTTCGACTTTGACTTTGGCTTCTGTATCCCGAACAGCCGTAACACCTGTGAGCACATCTACGAGTTCCCTCAGCTGTCTGAGAGCCTGGGTGAGTCGCTTTCCCTCACACAGGATTAAAACCTAAAGGAATCCTGAAATACAAATATATAAAAATAATATTTATTATTTCGAGTATATTTGATGCATTGTATCCCCTTGTCCAAACAGTGAATACTTTAGACGACTGACTTTTGTTTTTCTGTGATCTGTGTACCATGCAAATACCACAAGAACAGTTCAGACATTGTGAGACATTATAAGAATATAAATTAAATATGTGACTCTTTTTTTCTCATCTGTCAATTTAGAATTTAACCAAAGTAAATAAATAAGGCTGTAGGTGATGAAAGTCAACAACATCATTTTCAATATTTTACAACCAGTTATCTGACAATTTTGATCAACTTAGCGTACAGTATTTTTTACTTTTATGCTGTGTGATGAATCATTTTATTTTATAGAATCATTTTTATGACCCCCTACTGGGACATTTACGATGGAGTAACATTGGAGTCAGGGTGTCTG